AACCTCACTGAGCTCGAGCTGTTTTGCAAGGAAGAATGGGCAAGAATTCCAGTCTCTCGATGTGCAAAACAAAAGACATACCCCAAGCGACTTGCAGCTGTAATTGCAGCAAAAGGTGGCGCTACAAAGTATTAGCGCAAGGGGGCCGAATAATATTGCACGCCCCACTTTTCAGTTTTTTATTTGTCAAAAAAGTTTAAAGTATCCAATAAATTTCGTTCCACTTCATGATTGTGTCCCACTTGTTGTTGATTCTTGACACAAAGACATATTTTTATATCTTTATGTTTGAAGCCTGAAATGTTGAAAAGTTCAAGGGGGCCGAATACTTTCGCAAGGCACTGTATAAAAAAGGACTGGATTCCAAAGGTTCTGAGCTGTCCAACGAGGTTCAACACGTGTAGTTTGGTGGAGCTGAAGTTGGTTGGATGACACGGTGAACTTGTGTTTACAATCTCAATGGCCACTATATAGGTTAGCAAAGCGGAGGGCCACACAAAATGTCACAGCGGGTCTCAATTGGCCCGCGGACCGCAGTTTGGACATGTCTGGTTCAGATCAACTCTGATTGTATAGAGTTTGGGGGTGGGGGAGCTCATAAGTTTCTCGCCTCAGCTCACACCATTTGAGAAGAATTAATACTGTTCAAATAAATATATCAAAGTGGGAGATCTCCCTCAAATCTGTGCCTTTACAGCACAGATTTCCCCCTGTTCACACTTCCAAACGAAAAATCCTTCACCAGTGGACACACAGACGATTGGGTGAAGTGTCTTGCTCGTAGACGCTATGACAGTTCACACCAGTCTGACTCCATCTGCAACTTCTAAAATGACATGAGGAATTACGCGGAAAATAGGTGACAACCAGCAGAGGGCACACTTTCACATTCTAATCTCCTAATGCTTGTTTGCAGATACCTCCTAACTCCTGTTTAATGACAGTTAAATTAGATACCAACCCAGAGCTTTTAGACCTAATGGAGGAGGAGTGGAGCACCAGGAGTGTGATGAAGGAGAAATGGGTGAATGTGGTCTTGTCTGTCTGGTCTGTTGGGTGTTCTTACTTATCCCTCTCTTTTTGATATTGATTGATGCCTGTAGGATTTTGTCAGATGCAGAGGACATTTTTGGGTCATTGAATTGTCATTGTCATCTGTCATGAAAGAACAGATAACAATGTCCCATCTAAACCGGACAGCAGGATCTGTGACTACACCTGATTGTAGCCTTGGGTTAATTCCCATGTGTAGTTGTAGAGATGTCATAACTAGGGTTGGGCATCGTTTGCAATTTTCCGATTCCGATTCCGGTTCCGATTCTCACTATCGATTCCTGTTCTAAACGATTCTCGATTCCGATTCTTTGAGGTGCAGGAGAGAAAAAAAAAGATACTTTTTTATCAAATTTTATTTCATAAGTACTTTTCCTGCCATAAGGCAACAGAAAGTGCTTTACATAAAAACAAATTAAATTAAAAAACAAGGAACACGAACACACACACACACACACACACACACACACACAAGCGGTGTTTATGTGGCACCGCCCACCATCATCTCAGAGCGGCTGAAATGTAAACACGTCTCTGTAAACCGCTGAAAAACGGCTAAAGTGAGAATACTGGAGGATTATCGTTGGACGGACTGACAGATTTGACCAAAGCACAAGGACTCGTGCATCGTGTTTTCGGAGTTTTTTACGGATTATTACATGGAGGAGGAGCAGGACTTTTTGCGGTCCTCGGCAGGTGGACAGCGTGTTTCCCTTCTTCATCATTACAAAGGGCCTGACCAGTAACTTTAAGGTAAGGAACATCAGTTTTGCATGTGTTTGTAAAGCAAGTGATGAAACTGATGTAGCGTGAGTTTGGGGAAACTGCACCGGGCTAGCACGAGTGTTCAACCGGTCAATACGCCCGTTAAACCTCGCTGTCTGGACTCTAACTTAACCAAATAATATCTGAATTAGTCATTTGACGGATAAATGTTTGCTTCCTTTACCCCTTGACTCAGTTTGATCTGCGTTTGTGGAAAATGTGAAGATACAAGCGTTGAGAGGTTTCTTTGCGATGGCAGGAGTGTGTGGCTGAAGCTAAATGTGGATGCAAACACGAGCGCGCCGTCTCATAAGAGCTTAATTCACTGAGTTTTTCACAAACTCACAGCCCTGGCTTTATTACGCTGGGTGGACAGCTGCTAAGCATTTTTGAAACGTGTCCCCCCCCCACCTTCCAAACGCTTCCAACGCCGCTGTGCGGGCCGCATCCGGCATTTAGGAATCGAAAAAAGAATCAAAATACAAACGTCTTCTTAACGGTTACGGAACCGCACTTTCTCGGTGCCCAACCCTAGTCATAACACTTTGAAGCAACTTTTGTTAAGGTTAAACTCATCATTTTATCAATGTGCAGAAGCCTGTACTTTTCCACGTTGTTTTGATTTCTGAAGGCCAAACTACAAGCACACTGTGGCAGCTGCTGATTGGAGGTCTCTGTTTCTCCTGAGTATATTATCACTTTCTGTCTGTAAAATCCTTTGTTCGTGCGTCTACCATCAACAATAAAACATGTCTTCTGTCTGAATTAAAGACACGATCCCAGACTTTGTCACCTTCTTCATGTGGTGGAGGATGCGGGCTTTATCTGTAACATCTACAGAACAGAAGACTTTTTTTTTTTTTACACAAAAATTTGGCTTTTTTTTTTGGCCAAAACTGAGAAACCTCAAGAGAAACCATGCATCTGGATCAGCACATGGACAATCTGCACAGCCCCTGATTCCACTCAGGCTGTGAGCTGCTGAGACATGGACAATACCATCGTCCTCTTTTGCATGGACATCATTTGGAACAATTTGGAACAATTGGATTACACAATTTGGACCTAATTTGGAACAATCTGGATTTCTGAATTTGGACATAATTTGGACTGAATTGAATTTCTGAATCTGCACACTAAAGCTGAAACGTGTGATTGAAAGACACGTCACAGAAGAATTCATGGCTCGACACAACAAATGCAGCCTGAAGAAACCAACACAAGTGGGAGCGACTGTTTTCAAAGCAATATCTAGAACCATCGACTGATGAAGTTTGGTATTTTACAGAAGATTGTTGACGAGTTTTAAGAAAGATCTGAACATGTTTTATGAGTTTTTGAAGTATTCAGAGTTCTGAGTTTTTTGAAGTACAGAGTTTTGAAGTATTGAGTTATGATGTTATGTTGCTGTTTATCGATCCTGAAGGGGTAGAAAATGGATGGATGGTCACACGTGAATGTGTGACCAGAGGGGGGAATGTAGAGATTTCATAACACTTTGAAGCAACTATTGTTAAAGTTCTAACTTCATTCTTACATATGCAGAAGCCTGTACTTTTCCATTTGATGTTTTGATTTCTGAAGGCCAAACTACAAGCACACCGTGGTAGCTGCTGATTGGAGGTCTCTGTTTCTCCTGAGTATATTATCACTTGCTGTCCAACATTCCTTGTTTGTGGGCTCTTGTTCGTGCTCTACCACCAACAATAAAAAAAAATTCTGTCTGAATTAGACACGATCCCAGACTTTGGCTGATTCTTAACATGTCATGAAAGAACAGATAACCATGTCCCATCTAAACGGGACAGCAGGATCTGTGACTACACCTGATTGTAGCCTTGGGTTAATTCCCCTGGGTAGTCCCACAGCCGCTCTCGCAAACATGCACTCATTCAACGCTCAATATTGTACATGTTTGTAGTGGTAGGGAAAACCAGAGCAGACAAAGGGGGAACAGGCTTTGAAATAATGGAAATACATGATAAATAAATACATAAGATAAGTCTCTTTGGATGCCGAGTGGTGCTGCGTGTATCAGCTGATACAAATGTGTTGTGTTTGATTAAGTTCATGTTAATTTAGAACACATCTATTCAGCTAAGTCAGATTTCTACAACAATGCTATTAGATATAAGTAGTTATTAAATCCAAATAAAACAAAAAATCATTATGACATTTTTAAATGTATTTTTATTGAATTCAACCACCCAGAGGCTAAGCGTGTTGAGGGAGTTACAAATATTTATGGACAAAACAAATACCTCAGTTTGAACCATAAAATACATTATTAGTTCACGTTTCGACCTCTAGCAAACATTATCTTGCCGTGTCTGCAAAACAAAACCAGATTGACGAGTGCAGTTTGCACTCAAAGCAACAGGTCTACTAAAACCTCGTAAAAACCAATCCACGTTTTATGTTCTCTTCAAGCTACATCTGGTCACACCTTCAAAACTTTTCTACCAAGGAAGGACGAGCACAGACTGCTTCCAAGCAGTTGATTTTATAATACTGTCGTTAAACATGGTCATGCTGAAGAATGCAGTTTCCCATGGTTTCATTTGCCATACCCAATAGCACAAAACAAATCAATAAACAATTCTTATTTATTGAAATTGAGTTTTTTGTCTAACTCTCAAAACCATCAGTGGGAAAGTTCCTTAATCTCTAGTCGATGCTTTTGTCTCGCCACCATGTTCATAAAAAATCTCAAACATGTTGTATAATGTTGTTTCTCTTCCTACTTTGTTCCTTCAAGTTAACTGATACAGCATTTCCATTCCATGTCTTGTAAAACTCCACTCCACAAACTCTGAATGGTCTCTTTGGGACACAAACATTAGTTGTTAGAAACAGTATCTCCCCACATTTGCTTTCCCAGTAGTATAAGCACCAGCAGTAATCTCTTCATTACTGTTGATGATGTTCATTATGTGAAATCCATAGACAAATAACAAGCTGCAGTCCACAGTCCACATATGAACAGTTTACCCTTTCATTATTTACATTTCCCCAGCAATCAACCAGTGCAGTAGATCCTTCTCCATGCAGCACACATAAGGCCCCATTTGATGGGTTGGTGCATTTGCACCCCGCCTAGAGCTCAGCTCGTAGGAGATCAAGACATTGTCAAACAATATATCTCGTTAGTTCTGTCATCCTAGATGGTGTGCCAAAAGTGTTCAAAAATGTATGTCCTTTTCCTCAATGGCTTGATGGCAGATTCCCCCCAGAGTCTTGAACTTTGGTCCCAAATCATTCAGAAACTGCATATCATCCAAGTTCCCCAAGGAAAGCTCGTCCAGGGATTGGCTTTTGCTGCCGTTTCCTTCGTAGCCGTACACATGAGGCAGGTCTCCTACATCCTCCTCTGGGCCACCCCCGTAACCACCGTAATTGTTATAGCTTGCAGAAAGCATTTGCAATTTCTGTCAGAAGAAATTAAGCAAATTAGATCTTTTTGTAGATTTCATCAACTCATTTCAACACGTCAATGCTTTGCCTTACCCTGTGGAGGTGCTCTGAGATGTGCTGGTCGACTTGAAGATTGTAGCGACTGTGTGAAGTACTCTGCTCACAAGGAGAACACTCAGTATCAACCTCTCATGCTTCTATTGAGGCTTTCTACGTTATACTTACCATGTGTGTGCCTGTCCTACTGGTCCACATGTCCTAGAATGGAAATAAAACACAAACCTTTAGATTCATAATAGGTGGGAAAGGACCTGATATTCCCCTCTTCCAAACATAATGGTGTTTTGATCGTGTTTGTTCACTCACATAGTTGCCTCTCATGCCTCCTTGGTGCATTCCCATGGTGCCCATCATTTCTTCTTCGTAGTTATTCTGCAGAAACACAAAGATACTGTACATTTTTTCCACAATACGAGTTATGCTGTTGCTTTCAAACACATACTTTGTAACTAGAGTGGTACATGTTGTAAATTTCTTCACTTGTATAGAGCGGCATCGCCGGCTAGAAAAAAACACATTGTAAGGTTATAGACGCGTATATATGTGTATAGTATATTTTTCACTCTCACCATTTTTATTGCATGTATTTGTATGATCATTATCGCTACTTCAATTGACAGAACAAATTCCACTTGTTTGACTCACTCAACCTTTTACAAAAGCTGTTATTTACGATTTTTAATTATGACTTCTGTTGAATTTCCCCAACGCCTGCCAAGAAGGCGGCTTTGACTGATCCTACATGTACATGCCAGTTTCTGCGACAAGCAAAGACACTGTACCTGTTTTTACAATAGCCGTTGACAGATTTAGATTATTCAGGGTCGTGAGTTGATTTGTATTATGGGGGACTGAACTGTTTGAGAACCGCTTGCTGTGGACTAAAGCGAGGATAGTGGATACCTGAAGGGTCTGTTGGCCATCCGTCATAGTGATGTTGTTTGTCGTAGTGGTCTTCGTGGTCAGAGATGTGGAGGGTTCAGCCTGAGACAAAGCAGGAAGTCAGAATATAAGTGCCACTCCCAGTTTTCTATCCAGTTGTCGAACCTGATGGTGAAACGTTCCGTAACTTACCTTGCAGTCTGAGCTGCCACCTTCTTGATTATACTGAATGAGAGTCTGGTTCCCCTCATCCCTCCCCAAGTCCGAGAACTTGTGGAACTTCGTTTTAGAAGTGCACTTAAATATTAACAGCAGCACTGAAGAGAGGGAGAAACATTTCAGAATACATTGTGTTTTGTATATGGCTATGGTTTTCTCAATTAAAGAAGGTCATAGGCATAATGTTTGGCCATTATAATGATAACGAGACTATGAAGTATGTATGGGCAAATAAGGCTTTCAGCCTGCCCTAGCCCTATTCTACCACTAGAGGGGCTTGTGTAGGGTTTGTAACTTAAATTTGCCTGAGAAAATGCCTAGAAATGGCAGTATTTTTGTTTTGTGAGATGTCATTGACTTACAATGACATCACACTATTACAGCACAGAGACAGGAGCTTTTAGACAGAAGGGGCGGAGCTACATGTTTGTGCCAGAGCTTTCTAAAGCCATGTTTCCACCGCTGGAACTAAGGGGTAGTTTTACAGGAACTTTTATGGGGCCCAACAGAGTCCCTCCTCCATGCTATGTACTCCGTTGGGCCCTGAACAGCTCCTGGTGGGGCTTGAGGTTAACCCGGCGCTGATTGGCTAGCTAGCACAGGCTCTGACGCCACATGAAAACGTTAAAACAACCGGCATTTTAAAAATCCAGCAGCATTAGCCTAGCAGACACCACTGGAAACAGCAAACAACAACAAAATGTACAATAAATGGACGGATGATCAGGTGCAGGCAGATTCAGACGGGGTTTGAGGCATAGCGGCGAACTGAAAAGATATATTAAGACATATCAGCTTCACCTCGAAGCACTGGGGATTCATCACACTCCAAAACAAGCCATGAAAAGTTAAATAAGGGTGTATTCAGACCTGCACATTTGCTCCACTTTAAACGAACCAGCATTCGTTTGGAACTCTGATCCGAAGCTTTTATGCAGGTCTGAATACACACAAACGAATCCTGGTCCGGACCAAAGAACCGAACCGAGACCCACTTTTTTAGGTGGTCTCGGTCCGCTTCCAAACGAATTCTGGTCCAAGTCGAATCAGGTCTGAATACATCCGGTGTCAATCCGACACAACTCCAAGGGTGTATTCAGACCAGAAAAGTCCTTTGCTCCGCTTGCTTGATCCGAATCAAAAGCGGACCAAACGTTTTTCTTTTGCTCCGGTTCGTTTTCAGACTGTCCTTTTTGCAAGTTAACTTTTTTATATAAACATTTTGACACGTGTGACGATCGGCGCTCCTATTGGACAGCAGAGCTCACGGAGGATAGACGCGGAACCGGCAGAAAACATTGAGGGGTCGTATGTGCTGCAGTCTGCTCTGCCTCTGTCTGCTCTTTTTAGAGCAAAACCACCTTCAACATCAGCTCATATGACACAGGCCAAACACGTTGTTTTAAATATTGGAACAGCGTCGGAGAATGTGTGAGGAGAAAGCCGAAGGAGACTCTGTCTGTGCGCTCCGTGTCCTGTCCTGTCCCACACATGGATCTATGATAATAACGGCCCTGTTCAGCATTGTGGATAAACCATGGATCTATAATAACCACGGGACAAACAGACGCTGAGGATCAGGTAGGAACCAAAGAACACAATTCACTACATGATGCGGAATATTGCTCTTTGAGACGTGAGTCAAACAGTGTCAGGCTTTTAATAATGCAAATGGTTTGAAGATGCTGCCATTAACATCAATGTATACTGTGAACAGTTTTAACTCCATAAGCCTGTTGCACAGCGTCTCCTCACTGCTCCAGGTCTGCACACGGCTCAGTGTTGTTGTGTAGCGTTAGCAGCATAGTTAGCATCATAGTTAGCCGCTGCGTGGCTAATTCCTCAGTTTCTGTCTGCGGCTTGTTAAGCCCAAAAAATGCGCACGTATCTTGGAGTTGTGTCGGATCGACACCGGATGTATTCAGACCTGATTCGACTTGGACCAGAATTCGTTAGGAAGCGGACCGAGACCACCTCAAAAAGTGGGTCTCGGTTCGGTTCTTTGGTCCGGACCAGGATTCGTTTGTGTGTATTCAGACCTGCATAAAAGATTCGGATCAGAGTTCCAAACGAATCCTGGTCCGTTTAAAGTGGAGCAAATGTGCAGGTCTGAATACACCCCAAGATACGTGCGCATTTTTTGGGCTTAACAAGCCGCAGACAGAAACTGAGGAATTAGCCACGCAGCGGCTAACTATGCTGCTATCTATTTCCTCTGGTTCCGCGTCTATCCTCCGTGAGCTCTGCTGTCCAATAGGAGCGCCGATCGTCACACGTGTCAATATGTTTATATAAAAAAGTTCACTTGCAAAAAGCACAGTCTGAATACGAACCAGAGCAAAAGAAAAAACGTTGGTCCGCTTTTGATTCGGATCAAGCAAGCGGAGCAAAGGACTTTTCAGGTCTGAATACACCCTTAACTGAAGCAGGACTATAAATAAAATCAAGGACCACAACAACCGGAGCTGTTACGACCGCAAAATAAACAATTGGGTTTGGGGTAATGAGTTTCGCTTATGCGGCAATCGATAAGCCTAATCTGCGGTGGAGAGACGGACACTGAGAGGACTGTGGGAGAGGACGATTCCTGTTGAAGTTCCACCCCGCTCCTTTTACCAGGAACTCAGCGGTGGAAACGTGGCTTAAGAGTAGCATAAATGGAGCTATAAATCAACTCCAGGTATTTTATTTGATGAGGGAAGAATGTTTTAGAAAGGCTCAATAATGTCGATTTTGCGTATTATGTCTCCTTTATGTTTTCATAAGATGAAGAGGTCCTTTAATCGTCCCACTGTAAGGAAACGAAGGATAATGAAAAGAGACTTACACAAGAACAGCAGAAGTGACGCAAGGATCAGTCCAATGGCCGCTCCCCCCAGATTCACTTTCCGAGATTGTTTGATGCAAGTGTTCGTTTCATCACATTCGCAATACTCCACAACCATCGTCTGCTCACTTTTGAAGTTTTGTTGATCCTCAATAATCAGTGGCAATGAGTAATTCCCATAAGCAAGGTTTTCAGTCTTCAATTTGAGCTTGCTTTCGGGGCCTAAATCAAAAAATATGTTACTTATGTTACAGCAGGGGTCTCCAACCTTTTGTCTAATTTTCCAGGACAGAAAATGGCACCTCTTTGGGCAGCTGAAAGTAATCCAAAACAACAGGCTACCAGCATTTACATAGTCCACTTATGAATTATATATTTATTGTATATGTTTAGCATTTTGACTGTCTTGCTACAAAAGTGGTACAATTGCATGCCCATACAAAAATATTACAATGTATATAAGCAAACAGAGTAGAAAAGCACAATAGTTGTAGCATAAATCAGAAAATGAAATTGAAATGGTATATTTGTTCATTCTAAATCCATTGGGGATCTTCTTGGAATGGGGTGGGAGCAGCTGGTTTCCCCCGAGCTATAGGTTGGATAACGCTGCTGTACAGAATATTAGGTTGAATCATTACACACCTCTCCCCCCTGGACTGCCACCTTAACGTGGTGGGGGAGTTTGAGTACTCGGATGATCCTGGGAGCTATGCTGTCTGGGGCTTCATGCCCCTGGTAGGGCCTCCCATGGCAGACAGGTCTCAGGTGACGAGTCAGACAAAGAGCAGTCCAGAAGACACCATGGACAGCACTAACACGAAAACAGTGACGTCGCCCGGCATGGCGCAGCCGGGGCCCCACCCTGGAGCCAGGCCTGGGGTCGGGGCCCGTATGCGAGCGCCTGGTGGCCGGGCCTTAGCCCACGGGGCCCGGCCGGGCTCAGCCCGAAGGGATGACGTGGGCAGTCCCTCCTGTGGGCCCACCACCTGCAGAGGGGTCCGTGGTGAAGCGGTGCAGAGAGGACTGGGCGGCAGTCGAAGGCGAAGACCTCGGCGACCCAGTCCGCACACACAACATCTGGCTCTTGGGACGTGGAACGTCACCTCACTGGGGGGGAAGGAGCCCGAGCTCGTGGGGGAGGTTGAGCGATACCGACTAGAGATAGTCGGCCTCACCTCCACACACAGCTTGGGCTCTGGAACCCAACTCCTTGAGAGGGGTTGGACGCTCCACTTTTCTGGAGTTTCCCGCGGGGAGAGGCGGCGAGCTGGGGTGGCCATTCTCATTGCCCCCCATCTCAGCCGCCACGTGTTGGAGTTCTCCCCGGTGAATGAGAGGGTCGCGTCCCTCCGCCTCCGGGTGGGGGACAAGTCTCTCATTGTTGTGACGGCCTACGGGCCTAACAGCAGTGTAGAGTACCCGGCCTTCTTGGAGTCCTTGGGAGGGGTACTGGACGGTGCACCGCCCGGGGACTCCGTTATTCTCCTGGGGGACTTCAACGCCCATGTGGGAAACGCCAGTGACACTTGGAGAGGGGTGATCGGGAAGAGCGGCCCCCCTGATCTGAACCCGAGCGGTGCTCAGTTGTTGGACTTCTGTGCCAGTCACGGTTTGTCCATCACGAACACCATGTTCGAGCACAAGGGTGTCCACCAGTGCACGTGGCACCAGGACACCCTAGGCCGGAGGTCGATGATCGACTTTGTTGTCGTATCATCTGACCTTCGACCGCGTGTCTCGGACACTCGGGTAAAGAGAGGGGCGGAGCTGTCAACTGATCATCACCTGGTCGTGAGTTGGATCCGCTGGCAGGGGAAGAAGCCGGTCAGACCTGGCAGACCCAAGCGTATAGTGAGGGTCTGCTGGGAACGTCTCGCTGAGCCCCCTGTCAGACGGACTTTCAACTCACACCTCCGGGAGAGCTTCTCCCAGGTCCCGGCGGAGGAGGGGGACATGGAGTCCGAGTGGACCATGTTCTCTGCCTCAATCGCCGATGCAGCGGCTCGTAGCTGTGGTCGCAAGGTCTCTGGTGCTGGTCCCGGCGGCAACCCCCGAACCCGGTGGTGGACACCGGCAGTAAGGGATGCTGTCAGGCTGAAGAAGGAGTCCTATCGAGCCATGATGGTTCGGGGGACTCCTGAGGCAGCTGTCCAGTACCGGCAGGCCAAGCGTGCCGCGGCCCGGGCTGTTGCAGAGGCAAAAACCCGGGACTGGGAGGAGTTCGGAGAGTCCATGGAGCATGACTATCGGTCGGCCTCGAAGAGATTCTGGCAAACCATCCGGCGCCTCAGGAGGGGGAAGCAGTTCTTTGCCAACACCATGTACGGTGCGGGTGGAGAGCTGCTGACCTCGACTGGGGATATTGTCGGGCGTGGAAGGAATACTTTGAGGTTCTCCTCAATCCCCCCGTCACGTCCTCTGTTACAGAGGCAGAGGCTGAGGATGTTGGGGCGGGTACATCCATCTCCCTGGCTGAGGTCACCAAGGTGGTTGGTAGCCTCCATGGTGGCAAGGCTCCGGGTGTGGATGAGATCCGCCCTGATTATCTAAAGTCTCTGGATGTTGTAGGACTGTCTTGGCTGACACGTCTCTGCAACATCGCGTGGCGATCGGGGGCAGTGCCAATGGAGTGGCAGACCGGGGTGGTGGTCCCTCTCTACAAGAAGGGGGACCGGAGGGTGTGTTCCAATTATCGTGGGATCACACTCCTCAGCCTCCCGGTAAGGTCTACTCCAAGGTACTGGAGAGGAGGTTACGGCCGATGGTCGAATCTCGGATCCAGGAGGAGCAGTGTGGTTTTCGTCCCGGTCGCAGAACACTGGACCAGCTCTATACTCTCCATCGGATACTCGAGGGTTCATGGGAGTTCGCCCAACCTGTCCACATGTGCTTTGTGGATTTGGAGAAGGCGTTCGACTGTGTTCCCCGGGGTGTCCTTTGGGGGGTTCTCCGGGAGTACGGGGTCGGAGGTCCTCTGCTGAGGGCCATCCGATCCCTGTATGACCGGAGCCAGAGCTGTGTTCGCATTGCCGGCAGTAAGTCAGACCTGTTCCCGGTGAATGTTGGCCTCCGACAGGGCTGCCCTTTGTCACCGGTTCTGTTCACTGTATTTATGGACAGAATATCTAGGCGCAGCCAGGGGTCGGAGGGGGTCCGGTTCGGAGACCACAGGATCTCATCTCTGCTGTTTGCGGACGATGTTGTCCTGTTGGCTCCAACGAACCAGGACCTGCAGCATGCACTGGGACGGTTTGCAGCCGAGTGTGAAGCGGCTGGGATGAGAATCAGCACCTCCAAATCCGAGGCCATGGTGCTCGACCGGAAAAAGGTGCCTTGCCCTCTGCAGGTGGGTGGAGAGGTCCTTCCTCAAGTGGAGGAGTTCAAGTATCTCGGGGTCTTGTTCACGAGTGAGGGGAGGATGGAGCGTGAGATTGACAGGCGGATCGGTGCAGCGTGCGCAGTGATGCGGTCGCTGTATCGGACCGTTGTGGTGAAGAGGGAGCTGAGCCGAAAGGCAAAGCTCTCGATTTACCGGTCAATCTTCGTTCCCTCCCTCACCTATGGTCATGAGCTTTGGGTAATGACCGAAAGAACGAGATCGCGGTTACAAGCGGTCGAAATGAGCTTCCTCCGCAGAGTGGCTGGGCGCTCCCTTAGAGATAGGGTGAGGAGCTCAGTCACACGGGAGGAGCTCGGAGTAGAACCGCTGCTTCTCCACGTCGAGAGGAACCAGTTGAGGTGGCTCGGGCATCTGTTCCGGATGCTTCCTGGACGCCTCCTTGGGGAGGTGTTCCGGGCACGCCCCACCGGGAGGAGGCCCTGCGGAAGACCCAGGACACGCTGGAGGGACTATGTCTCTCAGCTGGCCTGGGAACGCCTTGGGGTCCCCCCGGACGAGCTGGAGGAAGTGTGTGTGGATAGGGAAGTCTGGGCGTCTCTGCTTAGACTGCTGCCCCCGCGACCCGGCAACGGATAAAACGGAAGAAAATGGATGGATGGATGGATTACACACCTGATTTTGGGTCCAGTTCCCAGACCTTGCTCAGTTTTTCATTTGCAACAGCAAAAGAGAACGGACCACTGAATGGGACAGCATCCAGGTCTTGGACCTTCACGGGGATATTGTAGTCGTGTGAGCAGAAAGTCATAGTTGCGTTGACCAGTGTAGGTGCGTTGTCGTTGATATCTTTAAGGTAAACGTAGAGCGTGCCCGTGCCAGTGGCTGGAGGCTCGCCTATATCACAAAAATTCAACATTATAACCACATTACCAAATTTGCAATAGTATTTTTTCCATTGTGGTTAATTTCTGTTGGTTTTCCAGAAGCACATACTGAAAGACCAAAGAAATTGTTGTTTGGGCAATCTTTCCGCACAATCTTTTTGTATTATAAATGTACCGGTATTTGATTACGCCAGTGAGCTCAACACTACCGCACATGCTCAGTGCATCGCCAAGTCTGTTTTTGTAGCCGGTAAGCAGCTGACCTTTGTGCCTTTGTGATTCAAAATAGAAGAGATGCAAAAGCAAAAAAAACATGGACGATGTAGGTCACTGAGAAGATGTGAAAGACAGGAGAGGAGTGAGATAACACAAGGCAAAAGACGAGAGAGGACCTAAATAAAAGGTAAAATGTCTCTAGATACCTCTATTTTGCACTGTGATAGAATTTATAGTGAAAGAAAAATACTATTGCAATTTATCCAAAATGTTTTGAGCCCAAATTAAAGTATTTTTCATGAACGTATTGTACTGTTTGTGAACTTACCATCATCAACAGCACCGACTAAGACTGTATATATACCGTCCTTGTTCACGTGGTGCGACTCTCTGTCCATTTTCTTTACAGTTGATACTTTCCCCGTCACTTCATCTATTTTCATCCAATTCGCAGGATCATCGAGGATTTTAAACCTAATCACAATATGATGTATTTTTAAAATGTGCTTTTGTCCATTCAGGTCTTACGTTCCTCAATCCTACTTGTCTGCATGTTTTAAAGTGGACATAGTCTGTCGTAAAGTTTCATTGATTGATTGATTGATACCAACCTGATGTTCTTCACGTCCGAGTCGATGTCATGAACTACGGGAGTAAACAGCACTTTTCCCGGTGGATCTTCTTCCTTTTGATACACTCTCGTCTCCTTTTTGTCAAAAGTTGGTGGATCGTTTGTATCAATGACCGTGAGGCTGATGTTGGCGGTGCTGTGCTTCGGAGGCGGGGCTTTATTATGTTTACAGTGAAACAGCTTCTCCTCATTCTCCACTCCTATCACTATCGAGGTCTTCGTTGTCCGTTCAAAGTTAAGCCCCTGAAGGAAACATACTTGATTAGTTTAAAAACAATCTCTCGTTGGTTGGTCTTCATCCCATACATAAAATGACAGCTTATGGGAATGATTGGGGGAAAACAGAATAACTTTTAATAATCAACTTTTAGCATCTTACAGTATAATATAATCTACTCAGCTGGACAATTTACGATAGTTAGATTTCAAAATTCTCACCTGGCTTTTATAATATCAAATGGCTGGGCTCCAGCACCACTTTCTATTCTTTGAATTTAATTTAATCAAGCTGGTACCCATCCATGATCTGAAATTTGCTTTTGTCTTTGTTTCAGTGTTTGAATTACTATCCATCCATTTTCTTCCCTTTAATCCATTTCTGGGTTGGGGGGGTGGCAGTCAGAGCTGCACCCAGTACACTTAACACCAGCCCCTCACTGATACTCCTGCAGGTGGTGAGTCCACAGAAGCCTTGATCTTTCAGCTGGGGCTTCAGGCAAAGTGTCTTGCCCAAGGACACAACGACAGCAGATAGCAGTGGGAGTCATGAAATAGGTCTTGTGGTGAATTTGTGTAAGCCCTCAGTCGTACAGGGATTAGTCAAAGCAAAGGAAGGTTTCTCACCCATCATCTGTACTTCTTAGCAGGTTTTCCCGACGTTTCGTCCTCAAACTAGCGGACTTCTTCAGGGAATGAATTCTCAGACCGCGCGTTGGAGATTTATAACCTATGGGTGTGGTTAGCCACACCCTAATCCTGATACTAACTCATAAACAATCTAAGGTCTGTTTGAGCATCCCAGCAGACAATAGGTCTGTGACATGCTAAGGAGTCAGGGTCTGGGCCTCAGCAGGGTCGTTAGACCTGCTCCCTTCTACATCAAGCAGACCTTAGATTGTTTATGAGTTAGTATCAGGATTAGGGTGTGGCTAACCACACCCATAGGTTATAAATCTCCAACGCGCGGTCTGAGAATTCATTCCCTGAAGAAGTCCGCTAGTTTGAGGATGAAACGTCGGGAAAACTTGCTAAGAAGTACAGATGATGGGTGAGAAACCTTGCTTTGCTTTGTGGTGAATTAGTTTTTCCAATTGTAATAGTTTAACAAACATTTCTTCACATTGTTATACTTGCAGTGTTTTACTGGCTTTTTACACCTTGGTTGGAGAATAAAAATACAATTCTCTGAGTTTAAAAGAGTATAATGCAAATTTTTTGACATTTTACATTGTTCCCTCATCAAAACTTGGAGTTGATCCATTCATGCTAAATATCAGAGTCTTCTGGCACAAACATGTAACAGCGCCCCTGATGTATCATGTTTCTTCTTTAACTGATGTCCAGTGCAAGTAAATGTTCATGATAATGAAGCTGGTCAATGTGCACTTGTTTACTAATTGTTACTAACTTCTGTCTTCAGTGTTACAGAATGAATAATTACCTTTACAACCGATAAAACTCCCTCATTTGTTTTGGGGTCAGTCACAATTTTGTAGTTATTATCATCATTTCCACTGATGAAATAATATTTTGCTCTCCATCCTGGGGTCAGCGGGTTGTCCTTATCGTCCACAGAGAAACCCTTTACAACATCATTTGCAGTGACCGATTCCTTCACCAGTATACTGAAAAATAGAAAACCAAAAATATTGACTGTTGCTTTTTCAATCGTACTTAAAGCTGGGGGTACCTAACTTTTTTGCTCTCCAGTCTCACAGAGTTTCCACATGTATGTATGTGGCCTACAGGCAGGAAGTCTGGTGTCAAAGAGGTGCGTCTGGACACGCAGCCATGAGGGCAATTGGAACACAGGCGGTTGTATGGCTGAAGTGATATGACTTTAAAGAGTGGGTGTGGTATACCAAACTAGTATTGTTTAACCTCAGTCACATACTTGGCACACATACCTACTGTACATGTGAAAGCCAGACCTCTGAGGCTAAGCAGGGCAGGGCCTGCCCTGTGCTCACTTTGAGTCGGGACCTGCCCCCACTTAGGACACCAGGTGCTTCAGTGAGGCGGCCACATAAATATGAGTATGGTGTGTGTGAATGGTTGGTGGTGGTCTGAGGGACCAATGGCACAAACTAGTTGCATCGCTTCTGTCAGTGTGCCCCAGGGCAGTTGTGGCTACTGTTGTCGTTTATCACCACTTTGTGGTAAATGAATAATGACATGTGCAGTGTCTTTGAGTGTCCACAAAAGTGCTTTATAAAACCAACGCATCATTGTTTAGATGTGACTGAGGATTAAAAAAAATGTAAAAGAAAAGTGAAAAAGAGAGGACTGCCCTCACTTCAGCTCTCTGCCCCAAGTGTTAATGAAATATCTTGTGTTTTCTTCTGGTCTTTTTTCATCACAAAATGTATTTTCATGAGAGGAAAAAGTGAGCTACACCACCTTATATTAACTTTTGTGTACATTATTCAAATAATTCAATTACGTATTCTTGTATAGTCCTCAATTAACAGTAGTTTTCTCGGAGGACTTGACCAAACCGTTGATTTTGCCAACACAGATCAGAGATTCAAACCGTTGAAACACAAAAAATGCAATGATAAAAAACACACATCAAGGCACTGGTCCATGAGGGGCAGATGACCACTGTCCACATACGTTAATACATGTCCATAAATATTATGCATAAGTTTGACAGCACCCACCTCCGATTTCTGAAACGTCGGCAGATGAGAATTGGCATCCAAGATATTGATAGTGATTTGTGCTGTGGAAGAAAGTGGTGGCGTTCCATGATCCTGAACCCTTTGCAACAAGATCGTACCTTTTTGCTTTCTGAAAAAATGCAGGTTGGCGTTATTGAGCACCTTTCATTTGATTGTCAGTTGTGTCAGCCAATGATGGTGTCTCACATCGTAGTCAAAGCATCCATTCATCAACAAGCTGCACCGTCCTCTCATCAATGGTCTTCAACTCCATCGGTGGCTCTTTGGGGGTCTGCGACACCAGGCTGAACGTCATGGTCGAGTTTGGGCTTATTTGGTTCATCTGGATCACGGGATCTGACGCCTTAAGTATCACCGGCAAATAATCAGAATCTGAGAAATGATGAAAGGTGTTAGAGAGTTATTGCGCTGAGGCCAGAGGGACTATATCCAACTTTACCTTCCTCATATTCTTCTCTGATAAATCTTGTTATCTTAGTGTGTTCAAACTTTGGTTCATTGTCATTTATATCCTGGATTTCCACATCAAAGGAGAGCTCTTTGTCAAGTCTCTCTTTGGTAACCTTGTCCAGGATGTCAAACTTAATCTGAAAGAATTCCACTGTTAGTAAACTTGCGCAGATCTTTGTTGATTTTGCGTAGCATGCTAGCTTACGTGGAAACAGCTTTTAAATTCTCGGTCTACTTTCTTGTGCGCAAAGACTTCTCCAGTTTTTTCGTCGATGGTGAACACACCCAAGGGGGGGCTCATCCACGCCGGCGCCGCTGATCCTAAATATGTGTCCGCTGCCACCTTTATCTAGCTGGTCATTATGCATCTGGAAGAGAGCAAAAGCAAGGGTTGGAAGGATAGCTTCTCCATCGACACAAATTAGGGCTCAAGCGTTTTGCCACAAGAAAGTGCGGTAATAGATATTGAGAGATACGGGGCTTTTGATTCTTTATTTGTGCCGATGTTTTGCCAATGTCCAGTGATCTGAGACTGGGGCTTGTGGTGACAGTTCGGGGCATGGGATTTGAACATCCTGTTTGTCCATGCACAAAGTGTCTCTGGAATGGGAGCTCATTCTGAGAATGGCATTGCTGTACGAACCTTGCATGCCGATAGCGGGGTTTCTGTCATTTGGTAACAGTTTGGCGGGTCTCGGTTTGTGGGACGCCGCTTCCGTCACTTGTGCCAATGGAGGCGGAATCCGGCCACTGTTATCCCCACACCGATGGAGATCGGTGCGATTACCGAGGTGTTTTCAGCGTGTGCCGTTGTCACGGGCCATGGCGCGGGCCAGCATGGGGAAGAGAGTTGTGAAAAAACCCATTATCTTTCCACTGTCTGATGTTCTGTGGCTTTGACTCAAAGGGAGCTGTGCTGGAGCAGCTAGGCTGAGTGCCCTAAAGAGCCTGTTCGAGCAGGTCGCCTACAGGTGAAGCAGTGACAGTGCGTGTGGTACACTCCTTCAGGATCACTGTTGGTTGAGGAAATGGTGGTCACACGTTGGCCCCAGCCATGGATCCTGTTTTCAAATTGTTGTGCCCCAGTAAATTTTCGCTCTGCTGTGGTTTAAAGGTGGCACATGACTAGTCAGGACACTCTGGCGTGACTAAACCTACGACCGGGATCGAACTTTTTTTCTTGGCCTCGTTAAGAAGACGTGTCTCAGCGTATATTAAGACATGTCATGGTGTGTCAGCTACAGCCAAGCCCAACCAGGTGTTGAAGCCGTTCCCATTAAGTCCAATTTGGGGACATCTCAGCCATTTGAGCACTTTAGTTATAGATTGTGTGGGCCCATTACCACGCTCTAGGGCTGGTTCGTGTTATTTGTTGACTGTTGAATGTGTCAGCTGACGCGGTAATCCTGCAGGCCTATCCGCTAAAAACAATCAAAGCCAGGTGCAGGGTGCGTGCCCAACACAGTTTATTTCTTGTTTGGCAGTTCCCAAAGTTTATCCAATCCGACCAGGGCACTAACTTCTCGTCTCATCTTTTTGCCAGTTCTAAAGCAGCTTCGGGTGCGACATAGGATGTCTACAGCATACCAACCTGAAAGCCAGGGGCTTTAGAGCGGTTCCATCAGTCTCTAAAGTCTCTACTGCTGCTATTGTACATGATGGGAGGAGACTGGGAGTTGTGTGTGCCGTGGTTGATGTTGGGGCCCGTGAGTTACCCAGGAGAGCACTGGGTTAGCCCTAATGAACTTGTGTTTGCGCATACAGTTAAAGGTCCCCTAGCAGCATTGGCAGCGATTTCAGGGAGCTTGAACCGCCAAGAAACTTGTGGACTATGTGAAATGGGTTTAGGAGGCCTTGTATGCAGCGAAGCATTGTGTAGAGAAAATGGCTGCTACACAGGGAAAAATGAAACACTGTTTTGACGCGGCACACAGAGTTGCTTTCATTTTTGACGGGGGATCAGGTGTTAGCCCTGTGTCCAAATGTTTAACCCTCCTTTTCAAGCAGATCCACAGGACCTTATACGGTACTGAACGAAAGTCTACCCAGAACTACGTAATCTCCATGCGGATCGCAGAAGAAGACTCAACTGTGCCACGTGAACCTGTTGAAGCCATACTATACCCTGAGGCTGTGTGCTCGAGAGCAGCTGGGTGGCAGGCTAAGGCAGCGAGCGCATTGATAGGGTTTGTTGTGGGTGACTGAGTTCACACCACGACAGCTCCCTGTCACCTGGTGTGAGAATGACAGTGTCCTGTACTCTGACAGCGCTCTTGTTCATGGTGCGTCTTAAAAACTCGGAACTTTGAGAACTTGGACTCTCTGTATGCTCATCTGTCCGAGGGACCGGGCAAAGCAGTTAGTGCAGTTGGTGCATCAGTTTCCTGCCTTTATTTTCGGACACACCGGGTCGCACACTTCTACTCGTGCACGATGTAGATGTGGGTGACTCCAGTCCAATAAAGCACGTTTTTATAGGTTGAATTTTGAGAAGCGTGCAATACTTGGATCAGAAGTTAAGTAACATGGTTGAAAATGGATGCAAGAACAAAGTTGTTCAAGCTGGGCGTCCCCATGTATTCTTGTGCCCAATCTGACAACTCTATGCGATTTTTGTCAGATTTCGCAAGTTGAACGCGGTACTAAACCAGACTGTTTCCATTGCCGAGAATGACGACTGCGTGGATCAAGTTTGGTTCCGCTCGGTTTGTCAGCAAATTCGATGGTATGGCGTTTAAAACGTCATGTGGGGAATAAATGGCGTGTAAAACAAATACAGTTGAAAGCAGCCTGTACAAAAAACAACAAGCAGCAGTATTAGAGATAGTGGTCCAGTGGCTCAGATGGAAAAGCACAGGTCTACGGTGTTGATGGTTGCTAGTTCAAATCTCCAGTGACCACCAATGACATTTTCTGATGGTGGGTCCTTGGGCATAACACTTCATGGAGAATGTCAGAAGTGCCATAAGTTGTTTGAAAAATGTAGTTTGAGTTATAATAAATTAGATTTAAAATGTATTGAAAGACTTAATTCTGAACAAGTGTATATTGCTGTGGCGCACTTGGTTTATAACTGTCTCTCATGCGGAAGATATCTTTTTTGTCAGATTAAATACAAATTGAATATGTATGAATATATATTTCATACATATGGTTATGTGTTGTTCCAATAGTAATCTTGCATTTAGGATTAATATTGCATCATCGTTAGGGTAAAACTAAATGATGTGTAAAACACTCAAGACACAATTTTACTTAAAACCACCTGGTGAGTGGTATAGCTGGTGTGTGTCTGCCAATCATGCAAGAGTTCGCAGATTCAAATCCAGCCAAGATCAAAAACTTTTTTATGACGGTTATTTCTTTATACATAAGATAAGATAAGATTTGCTTATATTTATCTCACATAGGAGAAATTTACATGTCACATTTGGCATGGATAGAGACACTCAGATTGTGCAAAAGGAGGAAATGTGCAAACATGTTACATGCAGGATATATGTACATGATGATATATATATCTATAAATATCTATTATATATCTTTATATATATATATATATACAATTTTTATATAACTGCCATTAAAACAAATCCCAATCTGCCAATCTTACGCACTATAGACAAATGTTTAATGACTGCGCCACTTATTTTGTGTTTTGGCAAAGAAAAAACCTAAAGATTCTATTGTTGTTTTAGGACATTTCATCAAGAATGGAGCCAACCAAAGATGGTGAAGAGTGATGGATTGAAAAATACAAGCAGAAAGTTGTGTAATTGGAACATGAGGTTTCATCTCTATATTGTTTAAATCTTCATTTCTGTTCTTGGACCGTTTAAGCTGTGTCTTATACTTTGCATTATTTTATAAAAAAATATATGTATTAATGTTCTTTCTTATTGTTCCATGTTTCTGATGTGGTTTTATTAAAGAAGAGAGAGAAATAAAATGATTTTTTCTTTTGTTATATATATATATATATATATAATATAATGTATTATAAAAATTTCATACATATTACATTTGTATTTAATCTGACAAAGAAAAAATAATGACCTGTCCTGGATTTCAACCAGGTATCTTCCGCATGAGAGGCAGTTATAAACCAATTGCGCCACTGGATGACGCAGCTCATATGGAATTTAAACTATATATAATACATGAAATTAAGTCTTTCAACAAATTTATGCAATAACATATATAATTATTATTACTCAAACAACATTTTTCAAACGATGTATGGCATTTCTGACATTCTTCATGAAGTGTTAGGCCCAAGGACCCAACATCAGCAAATGTCATTGGTGGTCACTGGGGATTTGAACTAGCAACCATCAACACCATAGACCTGTGCTTTTCCATCTGAGCCACTGGACCACTAGCTCCACTAATGCTGCTTGTTGTCTTTTGTACAGGCTGCTTTCAACTGTATTTGTTGCCCACATGCCGTTTTAAACGCCATTTATTCCCCACATGCCGTTGTAAACGCCATTTATTGCCCACATGCCGCTTTACACGCTATTTATTCCCCACATGCCGTTTTAAAAGCCATTTGTTGTCCACATGCCGTTTTAAATGGCATTCATTGCCCACATGCCGCTTTACACGCCACTTGTTGTCTACATGCCGCTTTACACGGCATTAATTCCCCACATGCCGTTTTAAACGCCACTTGTTGTCCACATGCCGTTTTAAACACCATTTGTTGTCCACATGCCGCTTTACACGCCATTTATTCCCCACATGCCGTTTTAAACGGCATTCATTGCCCACATGCCGCTTTACACGCCATTTATTCCCCACATGCCGTTTTAAAACGCCACTTGTTGTCCACATGCCGCTTTACACGCCATTCATTCCCCACATGCCGTTTTAAACGCCACTTGTTGTCCACATGCCGTTTTAAACACCATTTGTTGTCCACATGCCGCTTTACACGCCATTTATTCCCCACATGCCGTTGTAAACGCCATTTATTGCCCACATGCCGCTTTACACGCCATTTATTCCCCACATGCCGTTTTAAACGCCACTTGTTGTCCACATGCCGTTTTAAAACGCCACTTGTTGTCCACATGCCGTTTTAAACGCCACTTGTTGTCCACATGCCGTTTTAAACGCCATTTGTTGTGTACATGCCACTAATCAGCTGTGGCAGGTGCCGGTGCCACAAAAGGAGCCTGCCCTTACTGTAAATTTTAGCCATCTTCCCTGTCCCTGCTGAAGAAAAGCAGGCCCAAACCATGATGCTGCCACCACCATGTTTGACAGTGGGGATGGTGTGTTCAGGGTGATGAGCTGTGTTGCTTTTATGCCAAACATATCGTTTTGCATTGTGGCCAAAAAGTTCGATTTTGGTTTCATCTGACCAGAGCACCTTCTTCCACATGTTTGGTGTGTCTCCCAGGTGGCTTGTGGCAAACTTTGAACGAGACTTTTTATGGATATCTTTGAGAAATGGCTTTCTTCTTGCCACTCTTCCATAAAGGCCAGATTTGTGCAGTGCACGACTGATTGTTGTCCTATGGACAGACTCTCCCACCTCAGCTGTAGTTATCTGCAGTTCAGCCAGAGTGATCATGGGCCTCTTGGCTGCATCTCTGATCAGTCTTCTCCTTGTTTGAGATGAAAGTTTGGAGGGACGGCCGGGTCTTGGTAGATTTGCAGTGGTCTGATACTCCTTCCATTTCAATATAATTGCTTGCACAGTGCTCCTTGAGATGTTTAAAGCTTGGGAAATATTTCTGTATCCAAATCCGGCTTTAAACTTCTCCACAACAGTATCTCGGACCTGCCCGGTGTGTTCCTTTGTCTTCATGGTTCTCTCTACGCTTTAAACAGAACCCTGAGACTATCAAAGAGCAGGTGCATTTATACGGAAACTTGATTACACACAGGTGCATTCTATTTATCATCATCAGTCATTTAGGACAACATTGGATCAATCAAAGATCCTCACTGAACTTCTGGACTGAGTTTGCTGCACTGAAAGTAAAGGGGCCGAATAATATTGCATGCCCCACTTTTCAGTTTTTTATTTGTTAAAAAAGTTTAAATTATCCAATACATTTTGTTCCAATTCACGATTGTGTCCCACTTGTTGTTGATTCATGACAAAAACATGTAATTTTATATCTTTATATTTGAAGCCTGAAATGTGGCGAAATGTTGAAAGGTTCAAGGGGGTTGTATATACTGATATTTGTTTTACATTTTTTCTGTTGTGTCGCTGGGCAATACGGCTGAAAACTATATCACAATATAAGTGATTAATATTGGTCAATATCGATAATTGTTTTGTTTTTTTTAAACCTAAATAAATACATTTGTCGAGTCGGCTAACACACGTTAGCAGCCCTTATTTACAGTCACAGGGGAATGAGAACTCAGGCTGGAGGCATATGTTCACAAGCACAGTGTCCCCCATTGTCAGTCCTGGTTTAGCTCCTGTTTTGGCTGTTTTCGAGTGTCATCTGTCCCCATAACGGCTCCGTGCCGCACGTGCTTCCAGAGGAAAAAGTTAGTCTCTGTACCCACTGTTTCTGCTGCATCGCACATGCTATTCCTTGCACAGAAGTGCATATTGACACGGCATTAAAACATAATCATAGATCCATAGATGCTACGCACGGTTCAGTTGTTTTTTGCACTTCCCAAAATATTTTGCGGTTCATGCTTGGCCGTGATAGATGGAGAAGCCTCTGCCTACATCCCCCAGAATGCCGCGTGCTTCTGACTCTGTTTTACTTCCTGTTTTTTTAACGGAGTGAAGTTGAACTATCGAACATTCTATCGACCCCGTTTTCTATTGATATTGAACACATGTCTATCGCGATATATATCGTTATTGTTTTATCGCCCAGCCCTGATTGTGTCCCAAAATTCCATTGTAAAATTCCATGTAGCTGGTGAGAAAGTAAACATTTGTCATTCAGCCAACTTTAGCTCCGTCAAATGTGAACCAATATAGAAATGTCATGTCCATGTCTGGGTCGGCAGTCCCTGGGAAATGAAAGTGGCCCTCTTACTAAGAAGTTTGGACAGGGTATAGCAGCACTTTTTATTCATTTTAAGACAGGACATTACCAATTGTCTTCATGATTTAAAAGTGGAAATTGATCTATTCCATTTTGAATAGTGTTAAATATACCTTTACATTAAGGCTTAAAAGGTTCTTTTAGTAAGACAATAAATGTAGTAATGCTGAATTACCTGGCATGTTTACTGTGTAATGTAAGCAGTACTACCATCTTTAAATTAAGGCTTAAACATAAAAAGACAAATGTAACTTTTTACATTTAAAATCTTTACATTGCTAAATCTATGTAAAGTCATCTGTCATCTTGTCCGTGAAGCTGGCCATCGTAAAGCTCCCTGAGGTGTAGGATGAGCTCTTCTGTGTTCTCTCCTGTGAGGGCGGACAGTGGGATGACCCTCTGTTCCACGCGTCCCCTCAGAGTCTGGAGCTTCTCTTTGGACTCCGGAAGGTCCATCTTGTTGGCGATGATGGCGTGAGGCCGCTGTGACAGGTCTGGTTCGTACTGGTCCAGTTCGTAACGCAGGTGCTCCAGTTCTGTCCAGGGCTCAGCAGAAGAAATGTCCAGGACGAACAGGAGGAAACGGCAGCGCTCGATGTGTCTGAGGAAAGACAGTCCTAATCCTCTGTTCAGATGAGCTCCACGGATGATCCCGGGAATGTCAGCGACTGTGCGGAGAGAGCAGAGGAAGCTCACGTCTGAAATGCTAAAATAAACGGCTGTGATGTCGCTTTTGAATCTGTTTTGTAAGATAGAGGTCTCTATTGAGTTTTCTACCAAATATCAGCACATACTGCACTGGTTTTACTCAATTATCTTCATCAGACTCAAACATGCATCTACGAGACCATTATGTTCCCCCAAAAGGGTTTTCAATTATACTAACTTGCAAGCATCGATACCTTGATAAAACAGTTCGTAATATAAAAAAAAAAAAGTCCTATAAGTCAGAATATTCAGCCTTCCTTACTTGGTGGTATAAACTCTTTTTGCTCAGAAAACTACAGGAAACTTTTTTTTTTTTTTAAATGTGTTAAATAAAAGTGACTGCTTGGGTTAAATACTAAGATAAAAATAGGACAAAAATAGTCCATAATACACTAAGAACAAAATGAAAATTATGAGGTATAACACATTTACCACAAAATAAACCTTTGGCCCCTGACTAGCCATCATCAATCCATCTATTTTCTTCCGCTTTATCCGTTGCCGGGTTACGTGGAAGCAGTCTAAGCAGAGACGCCCAGACTTCCCTCTCAACACACACTGCCTCCAGCTCATGACCATATGTGATGGTGGGAACATAGATTGACCGGTAAATCGAGAGCTTTGTCTTTCGGCCCTGAATGGCACAAGCTTTTCTTATTTCTTTTTCTTTCAACATTTTAAAATGCACTTAGTTTGACACCCTGGTCTAAACTAAAGTATGTAGGTATGAATCATAAAGACTTTGCTGGTCAAGATCATGTATGAGGGACAAAAATTAAAGCATACATGATTCTGTTCATTTTACTATCAAGTTCTGAGTATTCATGAGAAAAAATACACAATATGGTAATGTATGTATCATGTACCTACAAATTGCAAAGTAAGAGTCCTGAAAGTATCTTTGATAGATGTACAAATGACTTCCACCTAAAGCCTCAGATAGGTTCTTGTCTATTCTAAGGAGATGATATGATGCGTACCTGCTACTTGCTCGTGATCCCTATAATTAACAATTCCCACATGTGGATGGAGAGTGGTGAAGGGGTACGCAGCTACAGCCGGCTTAGCATTTGAGATGGCCCTCAGCAGAGACGATTTACCAGCGTTCGGGAAGCCAACCTGGAAACAAAACAACATTTATACTGCATATATCAGATGAAATGGCAGTCAACCAATAACGGGAACTCATCAGAAAACGCTTGATCGAATATTCAAATCCTTTACAGACAACCAAATGTACAGGATGTATCCGTCCATATCTTCGCATCCCTCAGAAGATATGGACGTCATAAAATGAACTCACAATATTGCAGGACTTAATTAAAAATACATTTGCTGAATTGGGATTATTTTGGGCTTGCGCTGAACTAATTGCAGATTTTACACTGTATAAGAACGTGATATTTTTCTTGCAGGCTCACTCTTGAGATTTTATCTATATTAGACATAATAGATAATATAATATAGATATAATATATAATAACCAAGTTCATTTTTCATTTAATTTTCAACCCCTTTATTAGTCCATTTCTGGATCGAGGGGGGGACAATGAGAGCTGCCACCCAATGCTCATAGCACCAGTCTCTCGCTGATCCTCCTGATCCTCGCTGAGGGAAGATGGCTTCTTAACGCAGCCTTGTTCTTTCAGCAAGGGCTTCAGGCAACATGGGGTTAAGTGTCTTGCCCACGGACACAACGACAAGAGGCATTTGTGGGAGCAGTTGGAGTAGATCCCATGGTAGGCTCGAACCCACGACCTTCAGGCCCAGAGGCCAATGATCTACCAACTGAGCTACTGTCGCCCCCAAGTACCCAAGTGTCACTCCAAATGAGTTTATGTCATTTCTAATATGAATATAGCCTCATACTTATGTGATTTATGGAAGTACTAAATTACATTGAATTGAATTGAATGTATTTTGTGCAGAAATACTCCGCAACACAAAATCCCAAAAGAAATATTCTAAAGATCATTGCATGTCAGATATTTAAATTAGGGGTGGGCGATATGGCCTAAAATTCATATCGCGGTATGATTTGGGTCACAGACGGTAGACGGTATACATCACGGTATAATTTGGTGTGTGAATTTCAATATAGGTTTAGCAGGTTCTTGCATAAAATAGTCAAGATTGTTACTTATCTATACATTAGAATCTGATATATATTTTTTGAGTTTGAAAATCAGGTGAGAGACAAATGCTGTAACATACATTATTTATGTATGTTACAGTAAAGACCATTAACTGTGAAAGCAATTTTAAATAATATAAAAATATAAAATATATTATATAATATCTGTAGCAGTTAGACATGGTCATTATTTATAGTGTCAGAGTTTAGTGCGTATGCATGGCTTCAGTAAAAGCTATTGTTCGTTTACAAAGCTAGTCTTGCCATTTGTTGACGCTCCCTAAGCGCTTGCTGTGAACTGGATGATTCAATGGATTTATCTGCATTAAAACAGCGCATTTGATTTGAACAATTGATGTAAATGCTCATTTTGGCACAATTAATTTTGTTTAACAAAGTAGCTTTCGTGAGATATGGACCGCGGAAGTCTGAATCGGACGCTAACTTTACAAAACTTCTGAGATGATGCGGACACGGCACAAGCATGGATCTATTTCGGCTCACGATGGCGCTTCGAGCCTACGCCCCTTTGACACTCATTGGCCGAAAGGTAGACATGTAAACTGTGATTGCTGTGTGTGTATTTACCTACGCTGGGGCCGCTGTGACCAATACAGAGACAGAAAAACGGTGTGAAAGCCGTGCTGTTGTTTCCAGTGGTGTCTGCTAGGCTAATAGTGCTAGGCTAATGCTGCTGAATGCCGGTTTGTTTTGGTGCTTTCTGCTGGCGTCAGAGCCTGCGCAATTTGATGACATAATGACCTATCGCAATATGCCGGTATAACAAAAATCTCTACCGTGGGCCAAATTTATACCGCATACCGCTTATACCGTTCATACCGCCCAGCCCTAATTTAAATATAACTCCTGAAAGCGTATGCCAAGAGAAAACCCTCTTCCTACGCACCAATCCTGCATGTGCCATAGTGCGTAACTCCAGCTGTAGGATCCGTTCTTCGCCGACCTCTCCTGGAGTGGCCGTCATTGGAGCGCGGTTCTCATTGGACAGGAAAAAACGGTTCCCCTTTCCCCCGGTTCCGCCAAACACAGCCACAAACTCCTGGCCGTGGTCAGAGAGGTCCACGATTGTTTCGCCCTGCTCCTTTACTATGGTGCCCAGAGGTACCTTTAAGAAAGAAACAATACATCAACAAACAGAAACTGAAGTTGATTCCACTGTTTACCGTGCACTCACTTTTATAAAGGTTGGACAGCCATTGCGACCATAACAGTTCTTGCTGCCCCCCGACTGGCCGTTCTGCCCCTGGTAAATGGAAACGACCTGTGCCAGGGATTTAATCACCCGGTCAGCTGTAAGTAAATATATCGATTAGATCTTTGAATACTTCTTAGAAATTCAAGCCCATTTCCACCAGCCCAACTTGGCCCTACTCTACTCTACTCTACTCTACTCTACTCTACTCTACTCTACTCTACTCTACTCTACTCTACTCTACTCTACTCTACTCTACTCTACTCTACTCTACTCTACTCTACTCTACATCGATTGGGAGTGTTTCCACCAGCTCATTAACAGGTACGTTTCTTTTTCTCTTGTTTAATCCAAGCCGACCTTGCACTAAATGTTCTAACTGACAGAGATCAGCCAGAGTGCAGCTCTGGAAGCCATGGTTACCACAGCATTTCCCCAGACTGGTTTGGTGTGGGTCGGCTGCTAGCAGACCATAGAGTACTGGAAACTAGGGAGAGAAGAGTAGAGTCGAGCCAATTAGGGCTGTTAAAAAACGGGGCTATGAATATTAGTATGTTCCTTTTCACCGACCCTTAATGATGATGCTGCCCCCGTCTCCTCCGTTCCCCCCGTCAGGACCGCCCCATTCTTTGCGAGGTTCACTGTGGAAGCTGCAGGCGCCTTTTCCACCGGCGCCGGCCACCAGTCTCACACGGCGGTAGTCCACGAAATATCGAGTCTGAACAGAGAATTGGTTTCAGTCAATATATATCCATTAGAAATTTGAAAAATATGAATTATTGAATGTGTTTTGCTTAACTTTATTCTACTTTCACAATATTTCTGAAGTATCAGACATAAATTCCAACCTATCACTTTCAGGCACTGCTAAGTTTACCATCGGATTGACCCTTCAATGGCATGGAATTGTTTTAGATTCAAATAAATAGAAAGATAAACCAGATTAATAAAACAGAAAGGCTCTTTGCATTGATTTGAACCATCTCCATGTCTAAGAAGAGAAAAATATGTAGATATCCAAAATATCAAATAAAATAAGAACATGTATTGGTAATAATTGGCCTATTTCTACAGGACACAGGGTCTTGTAAAAGTAACATTTTGAGAAAATATATGTTCATCATAATAAACCTATCATACTAGTATAGTACTTAACATCCCTGTGACTGAGAGCAGATTGGCTGAGTGAAAGTGGTCTCCTCTTATTTGCGTCTAAAAAGCTTATGTGAAAGTCCAAAATACATGCACGTAAAACTTTTGATAGAACTTTTTTAGGGGCTAGGAGATAATAAGAAAGATAATAAAATAGTACTAACCAACCATTAAAAAATAAAGTTGTGTTGTTAATGCTATGTCTGGAGGTTGTAAGATATTTAAATATTGTCTAAAATGGTGTCTTTGTGCTTGAATCGCTGGTGGAGGGGCCGATGTTACGAAAGGCAAACAGCCACGCTTTTGTCAGTCTGCCCTAGGGCTGGTGTGGCTACAGTAGTACTTTACCACAGTATGGAGCGAATGAATAATAACATGTGCTGTGTCTTTGCTGTTTAATCATTATTGCCATTATACATTGACAAGAAGTGACTACTCACCAGTTTCTTCTCTGACAGCTCTCTCTTTGAGTCTCTCCGTGTTTTGGCACACAGCACTCGGTCTGTGGAGAACCCCCTGGCTCCTCTGGACACCCGGAGTCCGCATACTGCTAAAACCCTGCTTCTGCGACAGTCCTTAACACTCGTCTCATGTTTTACTCTCATGGAGAAATAATGTGGTTTTATGTTGTCGAAAACCCGCGACCACGAGCGACATGTCACCTTTGCAAACATCGGAGCGGTGGTTCTGTCATTGAGGCTAGCCTTAGCTTTAGCTTTTGCTCCTCACTCAGACTAAACTTCAACTGACAGCTTACATTAACTACCTGGGTAAATATTGAAGACTGGCATAGAAACAAGAGACTATATATGTCGCGTTTGTCTCTTGTTATGGTTCACTTAGCTAACTGTTATACTACTGTTGACAGACGGTGAACAGCCATGCTTGTTACTACGGATACCGAAAGGGCCAACTATGATCTTCTTCTTTTGGGTTTTACGGCGGTTGGCAGCCAACTACTGGAGCATTACCGCCACCTTCTGTTACGGAGTGGGTCAGACCCAAACATTAGATTATGGCATGGATCTATGGTCCCAACTCCCAACAAGGGAAGGGGAATAATAAAAACCAATAAATAAAACCCCTTCTAGCAGCCTATGTTTCTAACATAACCTATATCCTCTCTTACACTTTAGTATTATTGATCCATGCATACACTCCAGTTTCCTTTAAAAAAGCCAACAACGCCCCTACTTGTGCCCTACTGTCTTTCTCCAGAATACTCTTAACCAACTATGATCTCTGCTTCCACCTAGTGTTTGAACCATGAACGTACACTTTTTTGGCTGCTCAAAAATAATATATAATTTATCCTTCTCTATAAAACAAAACATAAACATCAGTAGTAAGTGCCAGATAATATTTGGAGACATAATTAAAATATATAAAAGAATTCAAACACAGATGCCGCTTAAAAAGGTCCAAGAACAAAAATGTTTTAAACTTGGATTTGAACAGTATGGAGAAGAAACCTCACATTCAGATATAATATAATATAATATAATATAAATAAATATATATATTTTTTTTTTTTACAGTGGGACAAAAAAGTATTTAGTCAGCCACCGATTGTGCAAGTTCTCCCACTTAAAATAATGACAGAGGTCTGTAATTTTCATCATAGGTTCACTTCAACTGTGAGAGACAAAAAAAATCCAGGAATTCACAGGATTTTTAAAGAATTTATTTGTTAATCATGGTGGATTTACAAAGGAAGATCTCTGGCTCAGACCTGTAACTTCTTCTTTAAGAAGCTCTTCTGTCCTCCACTCGTTACCTGTATTAATGGCCTCCGTATCTGTATAAAAGACACCTGTCCACAGCCTCAAACAGTCAGACTCCAAACTCCACTATGGCCAAGACCAAAGAGCTGTCGAAGGACACCAGGAACAGAATTGTAGACCTGCACCAGACTGGGAAGAGTTAATCTACAATAGGCAAGCAGCTTGGTGTGAACAAATCAACTGTGAGAGCAATTATCAGAAAATGGAAGACATACAAGACCACTGATAATCTCCCTCGATCTGGGGCTCCACGGAAGATCTCATCCCGTGGGGTTAAAATGATAATGAGAACGGTGATCAAAAATCCCAGAACCACACGGGGGGACCTGGTGAATGACCTGCAGAGAGCTGGGACCAAAGTAACAAAGGTTACCATCAGTAACACACTACGACGACAGGGAATCAAATCCTGCAGTGCCAGACGTGTCCCCCTGCTGAAGTCAGTGCATGTCCAGGCCCGTCTGAAGTTTGCCAGAGAGCACATGGATGATACAGCAGAGGATTGGGAGAATGTCATGTGGTCAGATGAAACCAAAGTAGAACTGTTTGGTAAAAACTCGACTCGTCGTGTTTGGAGGAAGAAGAATACTGAGTTGTGTAGCCAATCTAAAAATGTATACAATTTCGTGTTTTTAATAATTCCAAATTTATGAATTCATGCAAATATAATATGTAATGTAATAAGTTAATTCACTGTTAATTTATTTCAATATTTCGTACTTATTTGCACTAGTAGTCATATAAATAAATGTACGTATTTATGAATGGGGGCTAAACTACAAATGTAGGTCAACCACGCCCACCTCCGAACTAGTGAGTGTTGACAGGTACGTTCATGATGTTGTCACCCTGCGTGCCTCAAATATGCCTCTGAACCGTGGACAATAAACGTTGCAAACGGACTATTTTGTATTGTTGTTTGGTAATTTAAGAGTGCAACATATATATATATGTAGTTGTTTGTATTTCATTTTAATTGATTTTGTTAAAACCTGGCAGTGTTGCATATTATGTTAGTTTTGTCTGTGCTTGAGAAATGTATTTTATAAAATGTGCAATATAAATAAAATGGATTTGATTGGTTTAGTTAAAAGACTGCATCTCTGACTAATCACTTGCTAAATTATTATTTTTTATTATGAGTGTGTTAAATTCACTGGTGTGTTTGTGTGCTCATTCACTCTGTGTTGTAACTTGTCGATGCAACACCGCAATATCCCATATACAGAGCATTTATGTTAGCGTGCTCACTCTTATCAAAAAGGACTGAATCTCTGACTTTATTATTATTCTATTTTATCTTTTTACCAGCAGCCAGGGGTCGGAGGGGGTCCGGTTCGGAGACCACAGGATTTCATCTCTGCTGTTTGCGGACGATGTTGTCCTGTTGGCTCCAACGAACCAGGACCTGCAGCATGCACTGGGACGGTTTGCAGCCGAGTGCGAAGCGGCTGGGATGAGAATCAGCACCTCCAAATCCGAGGCCATAGTGCTCGACCGGAAAAAGGTGCCCTGCCCTCTACAGGTGGGTGGAGAGGTCCTTCCTCAAGTGGAGGAGTTCAAGTATCTCGGGGTCTTGTTCACGAGTGAGGGAAGGATGGAGCGTGAGATTGACAGGCGGATCGGTGCAGCGTGCGCAGTGATGCGGTCGCTGTATCGGACCGTTGTGGTGAAGAGGGAGCTGAGCCGAAAGGCAAAGCTCTCGATTTACCGGTCAATCTTCGTTCCCTCCCTCACCTATGGTCATGAGCTTTGGGTAATGACCGAAAGAACAAGATCGCGGATACAAGCGGTCGAAATGAGCTTCCTCTGCAGAGTGGCTGGGCGCTCCCTTAGAGATAGGGTGAGGAGCTCAGTCACACGGGAGGAGCTCGGAGTAGAGCCGCTGCTTCTCCACGTCGAGAGGAACCAGTTGAGGTGGCTCGGGCATCTGTTCCGGATGCCTCCTGGACGCCTTCCTGGGGAGGTGTTCCAGGCACGTCCCACTGGGAGGAGGCCCCGGGGAAGACCTAGGACACGCTGGAGGGACTATGTCTCCCAACTGGCCTGGGAACGCCTTGGGGTCCCCCCAGACAAGTCTGGGCGTCTCTGCTTAGACTGCTGCCCCCGCGACCCGGCAACGGATAAAGCGGAAGAAAATGGATGGATGGATGGATATTTTTACATTACATTGTTGTGTGCTCTTCATTCATACTGTAAGTGTAACTTCTGATGCACCAACTGTGGAAAGAATCTTAATCTCTTGATCCTAATCCGACACAGGTACATCTCCAAAAATGTGGATAATCCTCAGTCTAAAATTTCGCTCTGTGTAAAATTAATTATGAAATAGAGAGTTCCAGTTTCTGAAATGGCTCTTGTCTATTTCACATTTTCATAATATTGTATTTGTGTTAGTGCTGCTTCAAATCTAAAGATCTGAGTAAGTAGAGGCCCTCAAAAAGGTTAAATCTGGTTAAAAAAAAATTCTATATATTTTGTCTGAAAGTGAAAGACAGTATTTAGTTTCACTTACTAAAATGAATAACAAACATATTTCTAACTTATTCATATCATTTTCTTTGGATAAATAACAAAAAATGAGTTAAAACAAGATTTGCCTAAGGGACAAAGCCATTTAGCCTTATTTCAAGAACTGCTCCTTTAAATTCTGATTCCAACTGAGACATCTTTTTAAAACTAGATTGCTCGTCCCATTAGCTAATCTTGAAAGAAGTCAAAATGTGCAAAAATTAAGATATACTTTCCCAAATTTTTGCACATTTTTGCAGATTTGTCATCCCTTTTTGCAATGGCAATATTAACATAACCTTCTCTATCTGTTCTTTTATCCGTCTATTAATTCTTTGGACAGAGCTGTATCAAAACAAACCCATTCCAGCTGTAATGTCTAATAATCCCAAACATTAAAGAAACGCATACATTTTTGACTTGTTGCTAACATTATGCTTATATAATATACTTCCGTCTTTTCTAAACATCTTATATACTACACACATACATAGCAGTGAATGGAGGCCAGCGATAAATTAAACATAGTAGTAACCTGAGACGTGAAGCCTGAAGGCTGGTTTGGAGTCTGGCCTTTGCTCTCGAAAAAAATTAAAACAAATCTATAAACTACTCTCTTCTATTCAACTATTCTGATCGCACATACAGACACACACACACACACACACACACACACACACACACACACACACACACAGACACAGACACAGGCTTTCTGCAGAACCACCTGTTCACGTCGCACCTTACATTGTGTGCACCATGTGCACTTGTATATTGTAAATAGTAACTGTAACTCTATTTTAAATTTAAATGTATTCTTTAGAAGTGTTTTTTATTATTATTTTTATTATCTCTTTCTGACTGTTGCACTGAGCCAAAGCAATTTCCAAGTCTGTGACCTCCTGTTACTTACGTGCCAATAAAAATGATTCTGATTCTGATTCTGAGGTATCAGATCGCACACCTTTACGGAGAGAGGGACAAGCAGTTCTTTGTCGCAGCCAACCAGCAGCCTCAAGGCATTGTGGGCCGTCTCTATTGCTGGGCTTCTGCAGCTCAGCTGAAACTCTCCCGTTGAACACTTCCACTCAGGACTGCGGCAACATGAGGAGGGCTGCGCTGCTGCTGCTGCTGGTAGGATTTCAGGGAATATCGCTTGAAATTGGTTTATTATATCATTTTTTCCCACTGGGTTTTTCAAGAGTTTTTCCTTGTCGATGCAGGAGGGTCTTGTTGGACAGTTAGTGTCCAACAGAAAGGATTGGTGATGATCAGGACACTTTAGCATTCTACAACATGTATGGACATTTTCTTCTGTGTGTGCTTTATATTTTTCATGTGTTTTAACTGTTGATTCTCTGACCTGTGTTGGTGATTTCAATGGTTTTGTTAAGTCCTCTGAGATGACTTCTGTTGTGATTTAGGGCTATACAAGAATAAACTGTATTGTATTGTATTGTATTGTATTGTATATGAAATTGAAAGTGGAAGATTAAAACAGCCGGATCTAAAGAATGGACCTAGAGGACTATTCGCTTTTGGATTTGTTGTGGTGAAATGGGGGAGAATGAGTGACATATGCTTGTAATTAGGCGTGTTGTTTGGACTTTAATAACCCTGGTCTCAGAAAGAATCAGAATTGTTTTTTGTTGCCATTGTATAGTAACAGTAAGTCACAAACTAGGACATTGCTTAGGCATAGGGTGCAAACAAGTAATAATACAAAAACATTTGAATAAGGCATGCATATAAAGAACGAAGTACACTTAAAAGGACTACAAGTGCACTAAGTTCACACGATAGGCATTTAGCAGTGCAGAGTAGCTCAGTGTAGCTAACTTTTGTCTGTTTTTCATAAAAAAGAGATACCCATGTTGTCTTTCTCTTATTAGAAAATACATTATAATTTACATACTGAGATCTGGATGAGAGAGGGCTGGCGCTCTCTTATTCACGGGAAAAACCTGCACAACGTGCATGTGGAAACTAGAGATACCTGTGTGTGGGAGAGATTTTAGTAGTTATTCTTTCTGCCATTTGAAAGTTAGTTACCTCAGCTTTATACTGTGATGTGTGTACAGCTGGGAGCACTATGGCTACAGTGTAGTCTCCTTCAAAGGTCTGCATTTGTGAAGATATTTGTTGTTTTTCACACCAAGTATTGAGGTCTTATAGATTTGCTGCATCTTTTAAGACTGATTTTGGCAATAGAGAGATTGACTAAACCAAAACCCCTTTCGGATCTTAAAATTGTCAATGCTTTTTTAACTGAAGAAATGGTAAACTTTGGTTTAGTTAGTGCTGTTTTGGACGCGGTTCAGATGTCGAGGTATAGGGTCAACAATTTTAAACCTGGATGTTTGTAGGCGGTAATTCAAATAGATTTAGTAGTCGTATTTAAAAGATAAGGTATGAATTTGAATACAAGCCTGGATATTTTTGTTCCCAGGTTGCGTCTGCAGCACTGGCATGTATGGACACAGGACTTCGGCGCACCAAACGGGTAACTTTAAAGGTCATGCAAGTCTACTGAAAATAGACAAAACTTTCTAAAATCGACTTTTGTCTACGACGACAGGAAGAACTTTTGAGTCGATCCAAAAGACGATGGGTTTTATCAACAATTGAAATCACAGAGGAAGACCCGGGCGATTACCCGAAAGTGATATCACAGGTACACCAGTCTAACTTACAGTATATGAGGGAGAAAGGAGTGTGACTAGAATCTAATGACAATGGTTTTGATGATTACCGTCAGCAGTGTAAAATTATTAGTTAGTTAAGAAGCATTCACAGCCTTCTCTGTATATTTTGAGTTCTCCCAGTGTGCTCTTACTACTGTCCTGTATGCATCGACATTTCCCCGCTGTGGGTTTTCCATTCTTATCCTGGGTACAAAACAGCATGTCCTGAAAATGATACATTATTTTATTTTTAGATTTATATAACGTAGTATTCCAGCACATGGGTTGGTGAAGTAAACAGTAGTAGTAGTAGTACAGTAGTTTATTCGGTCAAGCATTGCAAACAACAGGATTACAATATGCGACCGAAGGGTTCAGGCTGAAGTTAAAGTTATTTGACCTGACCCAGCACAAGGATACGGAAAGCCGAAAAAATAACAGTCGGTGGAATTGTGTATGAGGTACTTTTTAAATGTAACCGTTTAAGTTTAAACAGATAAGGATATGAAACAACGATGGATAGAAATATTGCACAGTAATTTTGGCAAAACGCTTGAGCCCTAATTTGTGTCGATGGAGAAGCTATCCTTCCAACCCTTGCTTTTGCTCTCTTCCAGATGCATAATGACCAGCTAGATAAAGGTGGCAGCGGACACATATTTAAGATCAGCGGCGCCGGCGTGGATGAGCCCCCGTTGGGTGTGTTCACCATCAACGAACAGACTGGAAAAGTCTTTGCGCACAAGAAAGTAGACAGAGAATTTAAAAGCGTTTTCCACGTAAGCTAGCATGCTACGCAAAATCAACAAATATCTGCGCAAGTTTACTAACAGTGGAATTCTTTCAGATTAAGTTTGACATCCTGGACAAGGTTACCAAAGAGAGACTTGACAAAGAGCTCTCCTTTGATGTGAAAATCCAGGATATAAATGACAATGAACCAAAGTTTGAACACACCAAGATAACATTATTTATCAGAGAAGATTATGAGGAAGGTAAAGTTGGATATAGTCCCTCTGGCCTCAGCGCAATAACTCTCTAACACCTTTTGTCATTTCTCAGCTTCTGATTATTTGCCGGTGAGACTTAAGGCGTCAGATCCAGATGAACCAAATAGCCCAAACTCGACCATGACGTTCAGCCTGGTGTCGCAGAACCCCAAAGAGCCACCGATGGAGTTGAAGACCATTGATGAGAGGACGGTGCACCTTATGATGAATGGATGCTTCGACTACGATGTGAGACACCATCATTGGCTGCCACAACTGACAATCAAATGAAATGGTACTCAATAACGCCAACCTGCATTTTTTCAGAAAGCAAAAAGGTACGATCTCGTTGCAAAGGTTCAGGATCATGGAACGCCACCACTTTCTTCCACAGCACAAATCACTATCAATATCTTGGATGCCAATTCTCATCTGCCGACGTTTCAGAAATCGGAGGTGGGTGCTGTCAAACTTATGCATAATATTTATGGACATGTATTAACGTATGTGGACAGTGGTCATCTGCCCCTCATGGACCAGTGCCTCGATGTGTGTTTTTTATCATTGCATTTTTTGTGTTTCAACGGTTTGAATCTCTGATCTGTGTTGGCAAAATCAACGGTTTGGTCAAGTCCTCCGAGAAAACTACTGTTAATTGAGGACTATACAAGAATACGTAATTGAATTATTTGAATAATGTACACAAAAGTTAATATAAGGTGGTGTAGCTCACTTTTTCCTCTCATGAAAATACATTTTGTGATGAAAAAAGACCAGAAGAAAACACAAGATATTTCATTAACACTTGGGGCAGAGAGCTGAAGTGAGGGCAGTCCTCTCTTTTTCACTTTTCTTTTACATTTTTTTTTAATCCTCAGTCACATCTAAACAATGATGCGTTGGTTTTATAAAGCACTTTTGTGGACACTCAAAGACACTGCACATGTCATTATTCATTTACCACAAGGTGGTGATAAACGACAACAGTAGCCACAACTGCCCTGGGGCACACTGACAGAAGCGATGCAACTAGTTTGTGCCATTGGTCCCTCAGACCACCACCAACCATTCACACACACCATACTCATATTTATGTGGCCGCCTCACTGAAGCACCTGGTGTCCTAAGTGGGGGCAGGTCCCGACTCAAAGTGAGCACAGGGCAGGCCCTGCCCTGCTTAGCCTCAGAGGTCTGGCTTTCACATGTACAGTAGGTATGTGTGCCAAGTATGTGACTGAGGTTAAACAATACTAGTTTGGTATACCACACCCACTCTTTAAAGTCATACCACTTCAGCCATACAACCGCCTGTGTTCCAATTGCCCTCATGGCTGCGTGTCCAGACGCACCTCTTTGACACAGACGTTCCTGGCCTGTAGGCCACATACATACATGTGAAAACTCTGTGAGACTGTTTAAGAGCCAAAAAGTAGTGAGAATATTTTTTACATGGTTGCTCTGTTTAGTAAAGTTAGGTACCCCAGTTTTAAGTACGATTGAAAAAGCTTAACAGTGAATCAGATTTGTTCTGCTTTAATACGTTGGTTTTCTATTTTTCAGTATACTGGTGTAGTCAATGAATCGGTCACTGCAAATGATGTTGTAAGGGTTTCTGTGGACGATAAGGACAACCCGCTGACCCCAGGATGGAGAGCAAAATATTATTTCATCAGTGGAAATGATGATAATAACTATGAAATTGTGACTGACCCCAAAACAAATGAGGGAGTTTTATCGGTTGTAAAGGTAATTATTCATTCTGTACCACTGAAGACAGAAGTTAGTAACAATTAGTAAACAAGTGCACATTGACCAGCTTCATTATCATGAACATTTACTTGCACTGGACATCAGTTAAAGAAGAAACATGATACATCAGGGGCGCTGTTACATGTTTGTGCCAGAAGACTCTGATATTTAGCATGAATGGATCAACTCCAAGTTTTGATGAGGGAACAATGTAAAATGTCAAAAAATTTGCATTATACTCTTTTAAACTCAGAGAATTGTATTTTTATTCTCCAACCAAGGTGTAAAAAGCCAGTAAAAACACTGCAAGTATAACAATGTGAAGAAATGTTTTAAACTATTACAATTGGAAAAACTAATTCACCACAAAGCAAAGGAAGGTTTCTCACCCATCATCTGTACTTCTTAGCAAGTTTTCCCAACGTTTCGTCCTCAAACCAGCGGACTTCTTCAGGGAATGAATTCTCAGACTGCGCGTTGGAGATTTATAACCTATGGGTGTGGTTAGCCACACCCTAATCCTGATACTAACTCATAAACAATCTAAGGTCTGCTTGATGTAGAAGGGAGCAGATCTAACGACCCTGCTGAGGCTAACGACCCTGACTCCTTAGCATGTCACAGACCTATTGTCTGCTGGGATGCTCAAACAGACCTTAGATTGTTTATGAGTTAGTATCAGGATTAGGGTGTGGCTAACCACACCCATAGGTTATAAATCTCCCAACGCACGGTCTGAGAATTCATTCCCTGAAGAAGTCCGCTGGTTTGAGGACGAAACGTCGGGAAAACTTGCTAAGAAGTACAGATGATGGGTGAGAAACCTTCCTTTGCTTTGACTAATCCCTGTACGACTGAGGGCTTACACAAACTAATTCACCACAAGACCTATTTCATGACTCCCACTGCTATCTGCTGCCGTTGTGTCCTTGGGCAAGACACTTTGCCTGAAGCCCCAGCTGAAAGATCAAGGCTTCTGTGGACTCACCACCTGCAGGAGTATCAGTGAGGGGCTGGTGTTAAGTGTACTGGGTGCAGCTCTGACTGTCACCCCCCCAACCCAGAAATGGATTAAAGGGAAGAAAATGGATGGATAGTAATTCAAACACTGAAACAAAGACAAAAGCAAATTTCAGATCATGGATGGCTACCAGCTTGATTAAATTAAATTCAAAGAATAGAAAGTGGTGCTGGAGCCCAGCCATTTGATATTATAAAAGCCAGGTGATAATTTTGAAATCTAACTATCGTAAGTTGTCCAGCTGAGTAGATTATATTATACTGTAAGATGCTAAAAGTTGATTATTAAAAGTTATTCTGTTTTCCCCCAATCATTCCCATAAGCTGTCATTTTATTTATGGGATGAAGACCAACGAGAGATTGTTTTGAAACTAATCAAGTATGTTTCCTTCAGGGGCTTAACTTTGAACGGACAACGAAGACCTCGATAGTGATAGGAGTGGAGAATGAGGAGAAGCTGTTTCACTGTAAACATAATAAAGCCCCGCCTCCGAAGCACAGCACCGCCAACATCAGCCTCACGGTCATTGATACAAACGATCCACCAACTTTTGACAAAAAGGAGACGAGAGTGTATCAAAAGGAAGAAGATCCACCGGGAAAAGTGCTGTTCACTCCCGTAGTTCATGACATCGACTCGGACGTGAAGAACATCAGGTTGGTATCAATCAATCAATCAATGAAACTTTACGACAGACTCTATGTCCACTTTGAAAACATGCAGACAAGTAGGATTGAGGAACGTAAGACCTGAATGGACAAAAGCACATTTTAAAAATACATCATATTGTGATTAGGTTTAAAATCCTCGATGATCCTGCGAATTGGATGAAAATAGATGAAGTGACGGGGAAAGTATCAACTGTAAAGAAAATGGACAAAGAGTCGCACCACGTGAACAAGGACGGTATATATACAGTCTTAGTCGGTGCTGTTGATGATGGTAAGTTCACAAACAGTACAATACGTTCATGAAAAATACTTTAATTTGGGCTCAAAACATTTTGGATAAATTGCAATAGTATTTTTCTTTCACTATAAATTCTATCACAGTGCAAAATAGAGGTATCTAGAGACATTTTACCTTTTATTTAGGTCCTCTCTCGTCTTTTGCCTTGTGTTATCTCACTCCTCTCCTGTCTTTCACATCTTCTCAGTGACCTACATCGTCCATGTTTTTTTGCTTTTGCATCTCTTCTATTTTGAATCACAAAGGCACAAAGGTCAGCTGCTTACCGGCTACAAAAACAGACTTGGCGATGCACTGAGCATGTGCGGTAGTGTTGAGCTCACTGGCGTAATCAAATACCGGTACATTTATAATACAAAAAGATTCAGTATGTGCTTCTGGAAAACCAACAGAAATGAACCACAATGGAAAAAATACTATTGCAAATTTGGTAATGTGGTTATAATGTTGAATTTTTGATATATAGGCGAGCCTCCAGCCACTGGCACGGGCACGCTCTACGTTTACCTTAAAGATATCAACGACAACGCACCTACACTGGTCAACGCAACTATGACTTTCTGCTCACACGAGTACAATATCCCCGTGAAGGTCCAAGACCTGAATGCTGTCCCATTCAGTGGCCCATTCTCTTTTGCTGTTGCAAATGAAAAACTGAGCAAATAATAATAAAAATATTGGTTTTCTTTAAATTATAAGCAAATAAGGAAAGCACACACACACACACACACACACAAACAACACAGACAAACAGAGGGAGGAGGAGAACAGGGGCAATGACAATTGTAACAATCATTCATTTATGTACATACATTCACACACATGGTTCAGTCCAAACACACAGAAACTGAATTTGTTTTATTCAGAAAAATCTACCAGAAAATAATCTCCAAACTTAAATTAAAGTACTGGTTAATACTTTCATAATGTAAACAAAATACAAAACAAATCCACAAATGCAAAGTTGAGCTTCCAACATTTACTTACTTGCACTTTTCAAACCCAGGTTAAAACTAAGGATTGTATCTTCACTCTTTTATTGTTCTGTGATTATTTATGATGTTATGCCTTCCATGATCTTGTTTTGTTCAGCACTTTGAGTTACCTTGTGTATGAACTGTGCTATACAACAAACTGGCCGTGCCTAACTGTATAACTCGTGGTCGGCTGAGGAGATATTATCATATTTTCTTTGTGGAGAGACATTTGTTATTCTGCGGATGTTATTTTGACGTAACGCACATAATGTATGGAATGTCTTTTTGTGATGCAGCTGATATTGTGACAGGGCAGTTAGTCATTTCAACTGTTTTAAGAAAGGATAAGAGATGCTTTGTTCATACCACAGTGGGAAAATTTCAAAGTCACTGTGCACATACAAGACAGCGGTTAGAGCATACAGAAGATACAGTATAAGTAGCTGCAAATGTTTCAATATCAGAACATATGACATATCTCCATCTTGCAGGACAATAAGTAGACAAAGTGACATTCAGTGGACTTTCTGAAATTGCAGTATTGCACATTGCACGTGATTGCAGTATTTACTATTTACAGATTAGATGACATGTTCAGGCTCAGCAGTTCTCATTGTACAGTCTGACAGCAGCAGGAAGGAAAGACCTGCGGAACCTCTCCTTCACACAGCGAGGGTGAATAAGTCTGTCACTGAAGCTGCTCTCCAGAGCAGACAAAGACAGCGTCCTGTAGGGGGCGATAGTCGTGGTCCATGATAGATGTGAGTTTGTCCCAGACCCTCCTGTCCCCCTGCAGTGTATGGTTGTAATGGTTTAAAATGTGTTATCATGACAGGTCCAGGTGTAGGTTAAAACATGGCCACTTGCATTTCTATAAGTACAGTTTGCATTTAATCATAATAATGCATCAGACTAATATATACAGCGCTTATACTCTCAAGGACTCTCAAGGATGCTTCACAGATAAGATACATTTTATTGATCTCACAATGGGTAAATGTATAATTGGCATATGCAGAATCACTTTGGTTGTGCAAAAAGACAGGAAGTGTGTAAACATGTGAAAAAGGTTGAAAATATAGTCTCTTTGTGCAGGATATATTATGTACAATCAAAAATGTAAGTGACTATAGCAGTGCAAGTCTATCATCATTCACGCACACTCCAGATTCATACTCGCCAACACGGGTGAAGTGTCGTGCCCATAGACACAACAATATTTCCCTTTACAGCCTGAGTCGTCCTAACCCTGATCCTGTGGCACGTTATAACAGTGTTTTTCAACCAGTGTGCCTTGAAATGTTGTTTGGAATCGATCCAATATCCCCTCATTGGTCAAAATCAGGTGGAAAAATACATAAAACAAAAGATTAGAAAGACTTTTTTGTGCTTTTTATATAACGCACTTTGAAGAGAATGACTCACATTGTTATATAATCAGTTTCATTTTCGTTTCAGTTTCAGCTGGTGTTGTGCCAGCTTTGTGCGAGCAGGTATTGCTTCACTGAATCCAACCAGTTCCATTTCATTGGGAAGTTTTACTGGAGGCTGATGCTTTAAACAAACATGTATTTATTCATTTAATTAGTTCCTTGGACAGCAGAGACAGACAAATCCCAGACAACTATAACTTTATATACTATAGATCAGCCATTCCCAAACTCAGTAACACCGAGGCCCCCTTAAAAATCTGACGGGTCTGCGTGGCCCCCCAAAATAATAACCAAGAAGACAACATTAAGAATAGGCTCTTCTGGTTATTTTATTTTGGGGAAATAGCCTCTGCTACAAACATTGTAATACAAAAATGATTACAGGGGATTATTCAAGTCAAATAATGAACACAAATATTTTAATATTACAAACAAAACATTATAAATTTAACATTAAATAATTATATCCATCCATCCATTTCCATCCATTGCTATAGATGATATGTTACAGTCTTCTTCTCTGATAATGTCCAAATCCAGGTCAAAAACAGTTCTGTCTAGTTGTGCAGACAACTGAGGGATTTTATCTTCACTCTTTTTAACGTACTGTGATCATTTATGATTTTAATGCCTTGTGTGGCAATTTCTCTCTTGTTTTGTACAGCACTTTGAGTTGCATTGTGTATGAACTGTGCTATACAATTAAACTTGCCTTTCCGTACAGTATAACACGTGGTCGGCTGAGGAGATATCTGCATATTTTCTTTATGGAGAGACATTTGCTACTTTAATGTTAACACCAACTAGTTCCATTTCATTGGGAAGTTGTACTGGAGGCTTATGTCTGGCAATTATGTTTACAAACCTATATTATTTATCAATTTTTTAGTTTATTTGACAGGGACATTTCGAATATTTCTGGAATTGCACCAAAATTACCCAAAAAGGATTTATTTTTCCGTCTTCAGTCCCTGGACAGATGTAAATAGTCCAACAGTAGTCTGTCAAAGCCACTAGACGGCAGTAGAGCATGTAAGTTCTAACAATAGAACTTTGCTAATAAAAAGTGCTATAAAACTTTATGCTTTACACATTAGAACCAGACAAAACTTAATTAAACGTGTATTCCTTCATAACTGCCATGAATAATCACACCTTGTTGATTTAAGGAGAGAAACTTGGCAAACTGAAAAACCACCCAAAGTGATCACCAAAGCCTGCAGCAAGTCATGAAAGGACTTGTAAGGAGTTTCCCCGGAGATTCTTGAAATGCCCCTATTGCCCTCTTGCGTACCTGTGAGCATATATTCACCGTACCTCAGCTCTTTCACTGAGTGTGTTTGTGTTTGTGTTTGCTCTTTCAGCAGAGACAGACAACTCCCAACGCCACCTGGACAATGACTCCAGGCAGACGCACAAACTCAGAGAGAGGCAGCGCTTCTTTGAGGAGGTCTACCAGCACGACGTGGACAACTACCTGCCCTCCACGCACCTGCAGATCGACTGCAGAAAACGTAACAAGTTCAATGGAAAGGGCTTCTATTATAGAGGGATGCTCAGGCGTTCAATACCAATCTCGTTATTTTGTCATCAATAGCATTTTCCACCCATCAAATCTCAACTGACTTCTTTAAAAAATGTCCAATTGTGTTTATTCAAAGCATCTGAATACAAGTGAATCCTTCAATATATGACATTCTGAGCTAGTATCAGCTATCAAGATATATAAGGACATGATATAGACTGAACCAATAGAATCAATTATTTATGGACATTTATCAACATTTATGGACATTGGTCATCTGCCTCTTATGGACCAATGACTCTAAGTGTTTTTTTCATCATTCCATTTCTTGTGTTAGAACGGTTTGATTCTCTGATCTGTGTTGATGAATTCAGCAATTTTGTAAAGTCCTCCGAGATAAATACTGTTGTGATTTAAGGCTATACAAGAATAAAATGAATAGAATAGAATTGAAACCAACACCAGATCAAATCACATTTCCAATACTAATATCCAGTATCGTATCAATTCTCTTACATAACATTAACATCCCTAAAAAATAAGAGAAAAAAATGCATATTGTGGATGTTATGGATTTTGTATGTGACTCAAAGTAACTTTACTTTCGCAGTTCAGTTGTTTCTGTTCAATCCAACAGCTATGCAAACAAACTTGCCTTGCCTTTTTCATAACACATGTTTCGAGTGCTGCTTGGCTCTAGTACAGTCAGATTATCAATTCTACTCAATCTATTTTCCAGCCCTAAATCACATCAGCAGTTGTCTCTGAGCACTTTACAACATTGTAGATTCCTCAACAATAGATCAGAGAATCAAACAGGAAATAAAAAAAACAAACTCATAGGAGCAATTGGTCCATAGAGAGATGAGGGCTGACCACTGTCCACAAATGTTAATACATAAAAATAATGAAAATCAAAAATATATGTGATTACTATTTGGTTAATGTGTGTTCCAACTTCCAACAAACACGGACAATAAGAATGTGATTTTAGCCTTTGTTATAAATTATTAGTTAAGATATTAAATTTGATAAATAAATATATATAGACGTTATGGAAATGTATCTTTGAGATATTGCTGTTATAGATCCATCCAATCTCATAATTTCTACTCTTCTACAATATTTGTTTTTGTTGTGCCAATCAACAACTTTTTAGAGTACTCCGAGGCGACTGCGGTTGTGATTTAGGGCTTTATAAAAATATACTGAATTCAACTTTTTCACCTATAAACATTAGAATATCCCTAAGACCTTGGTGGACGAAGCCTGAGTGTGGCCTCTCTGTGCAGCGCCCATGGGCAGCATCTCGTCCATGGAGGTGAATGTGGACGTCCTGGAGCAGATGGACCTCATGGACATTTCGGATCAGGAGGCTCTGGACGTGTTCCTCAACTCTGGCTCTGAGGCAGAAGACGCACCGCTGACCCCCTCGCTGGCAGGTGTGGTACAGTCCAACCGGAATCTCTCCTTTTATGTCAATAAATACCTGGAAACATGTGTTTATTCCAAGATATAGCAGGGTGGCTGAGTGGTTACCATGGGGACGATAAAGTAGACCTTAGAAGTAGAGTTTAGATTATGGCTGATGGACTCGCTGTTCACGTCATAAAGAAACACTGACGAAATAAAGTGGTTTAATCTTCATCAGTTTTTCAACAGTTTTTCAAATCAATCTTAAGACAGTAAACGTGCCAACTTTTAGTATGAGCTGTGACTATCAGACAAACAATGTGAGTGAACTCAACATGACAAGATGATTATTGACTGCAAATGACTGCTAGATATATTACAAAGGGAAATACTCTAACACTCAGTTGTTACTACCCCACAAAGCTCAGATCCCAGGTCGGAAACCTTTCTTAGCAGAGGGACTAAGAAGTATCAAACTCCAAAACCTATTCATACTGTTTATTGTGAATATGTGTGATAAAAAAAAAAGTGCAACACAGTTATAGTGTAATAATAGTCTCAGACCGGATCATTTAAAAAAATATTTTTTATACTAAAGAAATACAATACATGAAACATTCTGACTTTTGATGCCTGCTATGATTTGTCTGAGAGCCAAACACAATGATCAAAAGAGCCAAATCTGGATCCTGAGCCGTGGGACCCTGACCTCTGTCCGAGACAAAGGGGACGTAATGTTTACATTTGAAATTAAATCCACTTCTTATAATCTTGAGACAAGTGTCCCAAGATAACAATCACATGCACAAACCATAAAAGACCTTTTCTGAACAACAGTTTTCAGTTTAGTTAAGTTTTAAGGTATCCAATAGACATGATGTCCATATTTTTCATGTTTACGATTGTCCAGCAGAGCCTGTACGACTGAGCGCTTACACAAGCTGATTGTCCAGCAGATTATCCAAACAGGATGAGGCTCTCGCTTGGGTTGCCAAATAAATAAAATAAAAAAGATAAAAAACAGACGATCACAACTCGCACAATTTTTATTGGCAAAGAATGAAAGTGAATCTTTAGACAAGACTTAAAACCTTCCAACCTTATAACGTGGGAGGCAGAGTTATTGCAGCTGGACACAGCTTTGATCCAAGCCTCAGATAGTCCCTGTCCCTGGTTTTTAAGCCTCGTCTTAAAACACTGCGAGATCTAGACCAGGCATGTCAAACTCTAATCCGGCCCGCAAGACATCTTTTAATTGCCCTTGAAATGATTTTCAATTATTCTGTATTACAGTAACTTACAACATTGATGGTAATGGGATACTGTAACATTTTAAATCCTATTGTCTCAGGGAAACAACCACACTTTTGTATATGTTCTGAAATATTAACTAAGTGTCTTCCAATACATCTCTACTGGATATTTAGCACAGTTGTGGTTGAATCCAAACCTACCAGAATCGAATGTCAAAACTTGTGTGAAATACAGACTATATGTAAAAAACAAAACAAAAACACATACAGTATATAAATTTGGCCACAACCAGCTATGTTTGTAATTGTGGCCCCTGACCAAAATGAGTTTGTCACCCCTGATCTAGACCATTTGAAAACTAAAATGTAAAGGGTATGTTCTGGATGGATCAAACCAGAGTCAGTGTGAATGAGTCCGAGCACTTTCCTGAACCTGCAGGATTATTCTCACTAAGCCACTTCATCTCCTTGGTATGTGTCATATCTGATTACACAACGCGCCGCCCAATTTCCATCGAATTCTATTGACATTCTTGTCCCGACACATTTCTGCCATAGAAGCCGAGGAGGAGGAAGAAGAGGAGGAGGAGGATGACGAAGAGGCTGAGGTAGTGTACAGAGAGGGAGTGGCGCCCAAACGTCAGCACGAGACCAAAAGCAGGTCTAAAACCCGCATCCTGTCCACCTCCTCCGGCTCCAGCGACACCAGCGCGGACGCCGACACTCCGGTCATTCAGTCGGACGATGAGGAGGTGCAGGTGGACACGCTGCTGCTGACCTCGCTGCCGCAAAACAGGGAGGAAGACAGCGAGGAAGAGGAGGAGGTGCAGAGACGCAACTGAGACCAACTTTAAGACCTATAGATAAACAGTTGGGTCAAATGAGTTCCAAAGGGGAAACGTGCAGGGGGAAGCTAGGCCTGTCACAAAAGGAAAAAATGGTGGACGATATATATGTTTCTTCAAAAACTTATTTTGATTAACTATAATTCTGCACCTTTTTTCTCCCGCGGATGCAAGTGCAATAAAGCAGGATAATCCAAGAACAATTCAATGAAATGTATTCTTGTATAGCCGTAAATCAAAACTAGTTATCTCGATGGACTTTACAAAATTGTTGAAATTGCCAACACGGATCAGAGAATCAAACAGTTCAAACACAAAAAAAAATAAAAATACAGATAATATAAATCCATAAATGTTGATAAATATCCATAAATGTTGTTGAATGTGGAGTGTCCTGGATCATCGCCGCTGTCCTATGACCCTCCTGCATCTGCACGGGAAAAGCAAGGCATCGTTTCATTACAAGCATGAGCTAAGAATTTAAACAGCAGAATATAGTTAAGAGTGTTGAACTATTTACACCTAAAACATAATTGTTTTACAAAATAAATAGCCACAATCTGTCCAGGTGCAAAGATAATGTCCACATATTGAGGCCCTATATACTCCATCCATCAATTACTGAATGATAAGTTGGTATATAATAAATATTGTGACAGGCCAAGAGGAAAATAGAAAAAAAACGACAAAAACAAATGGGGAAGCAATGATTACAGGAATATAGGTGGATTATCCCATTTTTTAGGAAAGAACCGCCAGTTTTTGAACAGAACTCTCTGGTTTTATTTGACGTGTACGTATCACCAGAATGATTGACAATTAGGAGGACCAATAGTCTTGATGATCCACCCGGAAGTAGAAAACCCTCCTATATACCTTCAACAATCAACAACAATTACAATGAAAAGGGCAGATCAAAAGTTTAAAACTGTAGAAAAAAAGTGAAAAAATGAATCTCTCTCCCCCGTATACAAATACAAGATTGCACACAGGACTTCCCTTATTCTCGTCAACCACTTTTTGTTTTGCCAGGGTTGAGGAAGACTTATGAAGATTGTCCTTGTCCCTTTTTAAATAAATACATAAATACATACGTACATTTAAAAAAAAAGAAAACGTCCCCGAGCCGCTCTGTCCTGTCTCATGTGTTAACTTAACCCTAATTTTCTCTACTGGATTTAAATCATGCAACCTCTCCTTAAACACCCCGTACAGTCAAAAGTATGAAGTGTTTACGAGTCAAAAGCAGATCCCAGCATGCACGTGGATTTGAATATCACACAAATATATTTTTTATGACAGGAACAAGTCTGCCCAGTTGACAGCAAACTATAGCGTGTGCATGCAGATCTGTGCTAACCTGCTGCGGCCGAGAGACTGTGCTTATCGTTTAGATAGTGCCGGAGGGGAAGGCCGCTCCCTGTGTGTCTTAAATGCAACGCAACGCAACGCAGTGCCAAACAGGGACAAGCCTGTAAGGCAGACATGTACGTTAAACACACAAACAATTTCACACATTTTGTACAACAAGGAGTGAATAATCAAAGCCACGGCGTCGAGAAAACCAGGGATTTTCTTAATGATAACAGTGAGAAGGATTATTCTGTATGTGTACTTCTGTCTGATACTGTTAACAGCAGGGATGTCAAAGTCAAATACATCAGAGGGCCAAAAAAAACAATTTGCTACAAGCCGAGGGCCGGACTGGTTCAATGTTTATTATAACATTAAAATGATTGCATAAAACCTATTGAACCTAACACAGTAGACAATATTTTATTTCATGATTAAATGAATAATCCAATACTTTTGCACGGCTCTGTGATTTTTGATTTTTTTTTCCCAACAGGCTCACAGACAAAAACAAACCTCCTTCAAAAAGAAAACACCTGTCCTGTCCATGAAATGAATAATCCAATATTTTCTCATGGCTCTATGCGGGCCGGTTCTAATACTAATCAAATATCATCATGTGGGCCAAGATAATTCATTTGCGGGCCGGATCTAGCCCTCGGGCCTTGACTTTGACACCCATGGTTTACAGTTTAGAATATATTATAAACTGTACATTTTCTGTCATATATTGTAAAGAAATCAGACATTATCTTTGAGCTTGTTTCCTGGTTATTAAACGTGTTCTCAGTCAAATACTTGTATGTTGATTCAGCTGCAGCGCAAACCCACGGCTTGAGATCGTTTTAGGTTTCAAGCGAAGAGAAGTCAGTGACAGAAAGAAATAGAATACAAAAAAGAAGAACTGGATGGACTGGTCTTTCTTATGAAAACAAAACCAGTAGGTGAGCGTTTGTGTTGACAGTGTGAAGAGTGTGACGGCTCGTTGGAGGTTATCAGTAAAGAGAGATTCAAAAGATTATTTTAAACAGTATTCAAGATATAACAGACACATCATTTCCAACTAAAAAGCAAAAAGTATGATTTGTCTTGACGCTAGAACACCCAGAGCAGTCCATTTAATGTTTGTTCAGCTCCTGTATGTTTTTGGTCTTCCTACCCATGTGACTTTTTTCTGTATCTACATTGTATTTCTGTGTGTACATCGCAAAAATAATGAAATATGAGAAAATAAATCCTTGAATCAAGTGTTTTTAATGTTTTTAATATTAGATCACATTGTGTCTTTAAACAAGATTTGCCAACAGGACAAAGCCTTTTCGTCTTCTTTCAGGAACTGTTGCTGTATTTTCTCATTCCAACTTTCCAAGGGACACATTTCTTGCATCTTTTTAAAGCAAGATAATTTTGCTTGTGCCATTCGGGAATTTTTGTTTTAAGGCAGTCAGAATGTGCTCGAATAAACATCAATTTGTCCAAATGTAATACATTTTTGACTTATGTTTCATCACTTTTTGCAGTGAAAAAAGGAAAAAGTAAAGTTGTCTTAACACTGGAACGCCTGGAGCAGCCACTTTGACGGTTTTTCATTTGTTTCAGTTTTGGAAGCATAATTGCTCAGTCTCTGTACTTTCTTTGGTCTTCCTAAACTTTGGTGACTTTCTGTATCCATATGTAGTTCATTTCTATGCAATTATTATTTATGATTATATCTTTTCTTTTTGATATGTGAGTAATTCTACCTTTGACTCAACTGCAGACTCGGTTGGTTTCCCATAAGAGAAGAGGAAGTGATAGTTACCGTAGCAACAAACTGTTTACTCACTACCAGGTAATGAGGGGCTGGAGCCCAATAAGCATTTGCTTCGCCCAAACCATTTTCAAACTGCATTTTTCAAATTCAACGTCAGTGCCTTGTTTGTTTTGCTGCAGGAAAAATAAAAAAATGGGGAAAAAAAGTTAATTTCAAACACTTGTATGTTTTAGCCAAAACTGCTTTTTTCTGTATTTCAAGTTTAATTAAACAGTTTTAGCACTTATTAAAAGTAAGTGAAGTAAGCAAGTAAGTAATTAAAAGTACTGTAAAAGGTTAAATGTTTATTTAAAAAAACACAATGTGATTTTACTGCAAATGGCAAAGTAATTCTTGAATCGTGAATCTTGAAGTGACTTACCAGTTCTTCTGGAAAACTCACTAACTTTTTTGGGGAAAATTTCAGAATGCAAATGATTTTGGAATGGGAGCCGTCAAAATGTCTGCTCTGGGAGATCTAATAGTTTCTGAATTCTGGCAGTCGAAGTGTTAATGATCACAAAGCAAAGGTTTTTTCGTGTGTGACCTTTTTCATAAATCCGACATAAACCGGACTTAAACCCTTCAAAACCCAGACCTGCCTGAGGGTATTTTCGGCTTCATGTGTTTCTTTGTGAAATTATAGAGTGCTCCTGGAACTTAAAGCTGACGTACAGGAATCTGGAAACTGAACATCATGTCACGTTGTTCATTGGCGATGTTCTGGCATGTGTTGTGTTCTGCCGTGGGTGAGTGTGTGTCTGTGCAAGAGGTCGACCAAATAAACAAATAATGTCCATGTACTGTACTTGTCCGACATGTTTTGTTAAATCAAGAATTAGAGAAATGTATTTAATGATTATTTGATTCATTAAAGGATTAGTGTGAGTGGATATTCTGTTGTGAGGTGTGGTTAATCCACGATCGGTGATTCGCAACATCAAAACCTTCAAGTTTTTTGGTTTGAAATTAACTTTAAGCCAAGGAGGGTTTGTTTGTACTGCACAGTTAAAACCGTTAATACACACGGAAACTCAAAGGACTAAACCAGACAAGGTAGAAATAATCACAAGAGGCATTCAGATCATAAATGATCACAGTACACAGGTATACAGGCAATACCACCCCGGGCCTGTAGGGGTGCACCCAGAAAGAGAATTACCTAATTATGTGCGTTCTACAGTACCTGTGCGTTCTAAAGTACCTGTGCGTTCTAAAGTACCTGTGTGTTCTACAGTACCTGTGTATACTGTAGTACCTGTGTTTTCTTGTTGAATGCCCAAAGAACAAGACATTTAACATACATACGATTGTTTCGAACTCATAAAAGAAAATGACTACTTAATGATACAAAATAATATCTGAAGGCGCTTTGATATAACAAAATGATTTAAGATTTTACAAGTCCCTAAAAAGAACTAAAACCTCTGAATGCTAAATTCTAATGTTTAGAAAAACATCTGGGGTATACCTTTCTAGAACAATGCAGTTATTGAGTTATCATAGAATGAAAAGTAAAGAAGTCCTCTCTCCCGCCCGCATCAACACGCCCGTCCTCTCTGTAACCGGCATTGTCCAATCACAGCCAAGCACAGTTTAAACACTGCGGCTTTTTTTCATGTTTAGTCAGTTTTTAAAAATAGCAGCCCTCCTCTCCAATCTGCCTCTCTGCAACATCACCGGTGTATAAGCCCGGGGGGGTTTAGATTGCATACAGTGATCAGACAAGTCCCACCAAGTATAGATACTTTTTTCCCCCCACAATCGGGAAATTTCAGTGTTGCATCGCAAGTTACAGAATAGTAGGAATGTAGAGCCTACACAACAAAGAAAAATATACAAATCTTTAGCA